GTTAGACCATTCTGCCACCCACCGCTACACAGATGTTTTAGGATAACCGTAATATAGATTGGTTTAGGTATGACACAGTGAGTGGTTTATCCTAGAGGTCGATGCTCGAATTATTGGGAGAGTCTATAATACCTATTCCATCTGTTTATGTAATTCCAACAGACTATATTTTAAGGGAGCTAAATCTCTAACTCAGTATTAGTGATATTGCTGGCGTTATCAGAGGGAATGTGGTGTGTCTTTTAATTGGAATCGACCGATTTGGGTAATATTTGGGGCCAATATATGTTTTGGGCAAGACAAGTGTTGCTTGTGTCAGATCTTAAGTCTGTATTTGACTATAAACACATTCATATAATGTATTAGGTTGAAACGCCCCCCCCCCCCCCAAAAAAAAAACAAAACATGTTGGAATATTTTCCTCATACCAGTGGTCATTAACCCGGTTAAGATGAAACGAAAAGGGAACACTGCGCCGCTTCTTTTTAAGACACATTTGCTATTTCAAATGGAAGACATTTATGAAGATTAAGAGTCCTTTAATCGGTAAAGGATCCGGGGTTCCCAAATGAGGTCACCCAGTTGCCATGTAGTCGCGACTTATTTTGGGTTTCAATGTCTTCCTGCGAATTCGAGGAGTAATGGTAGGTACATTAGAACAGTTGACAGTTACCGGCTGCGGGGCGAGTGAGGATCGCACGATAGCTTGGTGGCCAGTCGTCACGTGAATCATACAAAATCGATCAAAGAAGTAAGTTCGCCCAAATCTGGACGGTAAGACCCACCACTGCAAATTTAGTCGCGGTGGCTCGGTGCTAAGGCACTGGGTTCGACCCAGGAGGGTGTCAGGACGGAGGAACTAGCAAGGAACAGCATCTAGTCATTTGGACGGAACATTAAGTCAAGGTATCGTGTACACATTGGCGTGCACGTAAAAGAACCCTATGCCCGTCCTAATTTCTTTAGTCCGGGTGCAGTAACCCATAAATATCATGGCAGTTCATACCACTGCCTAAAAGATGCTTCCTTTATCTTGGTAGTTAAAATGAACACTAAGGAATGTATATATCCTGGCCAATAACATACAACTGACCTATTGAGCCACGGTGGCTGAGTGGTTAAGACGCTGGCTCGCTAGCCTGGTGGTCGGGTGTTCGATCCCTGCATTGGCCGAGAAAGTTCATCTGGATTTTCCGACGTGGTTTCCCCTTGTCAGTGGTGCAGAACTGAGGGCCTGACAAGGACAGCTGTCTAGTCCTTCGGATGAGACGAAAAACCGAGGTCCGATGTATACATTGGAATGCACGTAAAAAATCCCTTGGCAGTTGGAATTCGATATAAGAATAGGCGATAGTGCCGCTGCCCGGGCAAAATTTCCCTCATAGCACACTATATGGCGTATGCCCGTCTTCATTAGCCCAGTATAGGAGCAGAACAGTAGAACGTTAAACCCCATTTCATTTCATTTACAACTGACCTATACAGTAGGACGTTAAACCAATTTCATTTCACCCCATGCTCTATATATAGTGTATTAGATAATAATGTTGTTCAATATTTTCTTTATGCTGGCAAAGAAGTTAATCTGTAATATTGCAGCTTTCTGAAGAATTTATCGACATTTAATCCTATTATATCCATCAAAGGAATTATTTGTATCGAGTTTAAATGATTCACGCGACGCCTGGCATGTCTTTAATTAAAGATACATTATGGGAGATTAGATACAGAGTCGATATGTAACATTTTTACCGACATGCGTGGCATTACTGTGTACATAATTCTTTCAATTTTGGTTTCACGCTACATAACGTCAGTAAGTAAATTCAAGAAACATTATGGGAGATTAGATAAAGAGCTGGAAGTTCTCACTATTATAGTTAAAAGCTAGATAATGTAAAGGGAATTTGCTAAAAAATTCAGTCAAATTGATCCACTCTGAACCGATAATTTAGCGATTGAATTTTAGGTCTAGCCTCGATCATCATTACTAAAGTCGGTACGAAAAAAACATAGTCTTGATTATCCATTTTTGAATTAAATCATGTAAATATCCTAGGCTAGCGATGGCATCAAGAGTTGATTATGGTCTGGATAAGTTAATTAATGTCTGATTAATGATTTAGATAACATTTCAGGCCTTAAGAAAGACCTGCAATAGGCAGATTTAGCTCTTACATAACGTATGTTTAATTTTGCGTAGAAATACGCCCAAACTGCAGCTTTGTATCAATTGTAGCTTATTATCATAAAGGAAAACTTGAATGTTATTCAAATTTGTACCCTCTATTGCTTTCACAAGGTTTTCAACGTATGCTTCTCGCAATGTAATCAGCACGCTTCCATTTTGTTGTAGACAAACAGAATTGGTAGGCCTGTTTTAAATCCGATTATATCTTGCGTTGTTATTTTGATATTGTTTTCTTAATTTAATGGTAAATAATTATTCTGAGTACTAGCGTGAATAAAAGGCGTGATAAATTAACATTTTGGCGAAAAATGCAATTGACGAATCGTTACTTTCATCGCTTAATTTCCAACGTGTCCGGGTGCTTTATTTACAGACTTTTATCAGGGGAAAAATGTTTTTTAATTTAAGGGATTTTAACCTATGCAGTTGCTGCAATAGAAATGCCGGCCAAGGTTTATGGTCGGTCTAGAAGATATTATCACCAGAAAAAGGTACCAGTCCAGTTTTGGGAACATCCTCAATTAAAAGCTTTCTCTTTTTTTAAAAATTGGGTCCAAAATTATTCAAATTGATCAATTCTTATATTATTGTCATTTAAACTTTACATTGGTGCATTATTTTTGCACCTCCATTTTTATGTGACTTATGTTATATTCTTCTGACAGGCCAGTCCAATCTTCATCATGTTTTTTAATACCCAGACACGGTTAATTAGATAATAACAATAGTCTTTTTTGAAGAACCCCAATTTTTTTTTTTTTTTGGATATAGATGGTAACGACCTTGTTGTGCATTCCAAAAAGGCGGTTCCCCAAAATAGATGGCAGTGGCCCATACCATGTCGTTTCTTGCAACGTGAAACTGTGGATAAAATATTATCTACACAGCTTCTTATCTGATGTTATGGAATCGTTAAAATAGATATATATCAGCCAATTATCTTTCTTTTCAGATGGAGTGTGTGTGTGGGGGGGGGGGGGTGAAATGAAATGAAATGGGGTTTAACGTCCTACTCTTAGGGGGGGGGGGGGTGATATTGCAGGCTAAACAGGGGGGGGGGGGGTGATATTGCGGGTTAAACAGGAAGTGTTGTGTGGATTAAAACATTCATAATAGAAACTACTACAAATCCTTATGTTGTTGGATTATTTTTTATTTTTAAACCGAGGTCCACTCGGCACCAACTAGGCTATGTTGGGACTAACATATGGGGTCTTTAGCGGTGGGAGGTAACCGGAAAAACCGAATATATTCGTTCCATTCGACTGATGTTTTGCTGATGTTATGATCTGTAGCTAATTGTCTAAAGGTTACTCGATTGGCATGCGTTAAGGTATCGACAACTTTACTTCAAAAGGGCGATAAATCTGCAGCAAAAGAACCCACTATAAGCTAGTCTATTACTAATACAACTTCAATACCCTTTTTTTTAAAACAAGAAAACATATAATTTGGCTAAATTTATCTAACTGAACCACAACGCTGTTCAATTTTTAATTGCTATAAAAGTGAATTTTCTCGAAGAAGTTAATCTATGAATATAATTACAACAATTTCAAGAAATTTGATCAATATCCAATCTTACTATTTTCATAACGGTATTATTTTTTGTCGACGTTAACTTATTTCACGTAACGTCTGGCATGTCTTTCAAATAAAATTTCTATTCATATGAAAAACATACATTGAATTTTAATATATGTGTAAACTTTAATTAAAACATGTCAATAATAGTAACGTGTCAAATAACGTGTGTTATTATTCATCATAGTAACCAAAACTAGTGCTGCCAGGCAACTAAATATACATGCACCAGCAAGTTTGTTTATGGTTTTCTTTGCTTTAACTTGCGTATTTGAGATTTTAATGGACATCTGACATTGTGTCATTACTGCCCCGCTCTTCCTGCAGAACCTAAACCGCCAATGGTAAATGCAGCTTTTCAAATACACCACAACCTCGTCCAATGATCTATTTTTAAACGCACTGAGTATAACATATCCGTCGAATATATTTTACATTTTATTTAGTATATAAAACAAAACGAAACCAAAAAAAGGTATAATTTCAATTAATTTAAAAAAAAAAGTGGTTGAATCTATAACGTTAAAGCCACAACTTTTCAGAATAAAAGTTAAATACGTAGTATACACGATGTAAGTACATCTATTTTAATTTTTTTTTAAAAAGTCGACAACTTCCAACTTATGTCATGGTAATTTAAAATTTACATGGGTTTATATTAATTTCACGCACCCATTTTTATGTTTATGATAGCGTTAAAGTAATATAATGTTAGTCTATTCTTCGTGAAGATTCATAATTTGATTGAATAATAACAACAGTCTTTTTTAATGTTCATACTTTTTACTTTTGAAATATAAGTGAACGATCTGTTGTGTTGTGCCTTTAAACTAGGTTATTCTTCCGGCCATTCCCGTAGTTATCAGTTGAGTAATACAATATCATTTGGGGTCTAAATTTTAATATTGTATTTGATTCCATATTTTAATTTTATATTTTATACGGTCTATCCCATCGTTGGACATGTTAAGTGACAGATTAATTGTAAGATTCAATCTGTGCTAGGTGTGGGGTTTCTGACATAGTATTATGTAAGATGTAATATGTTGTACAAACTTGTATACTCGGCGTGCCTTTAGACAAATTAGATGATATAAGATTAACGTTTAACAGGTATTAACACATATTGTCTAGAGTAAAGATGTGTGACACTTAATAATTAGTTTTCATTGTTCTGATTACCAACGCCTATTTACTCGGCGTGCTATAATAACAGACACCAGATCATTAGTCACTAGCCTTTCGTTGTTCTGTTTACCAACGCCAATTAACCGTAGAGTGCCTTAGTTGTCAATCAAACTCAATGTGACTACGAGTTATCCAATCAGCTTAATTGTTTCTACCACATGAAAACCAATCAGGATTGTCTGTCGAGATCACGTGACAGATGTCACTCCACAGTGTTAAAAGTATAGTTTTAGAGTTAAACGGCAATTAGGTCTTCTGAGACCTGGGGGGAGTAGATTAGATAGACGTTATTATATCTAACTACAATGACTTTCACATGTAGAGTTGTACATGTAAATATGTTATCCAGTATTAAAATATCTTTTTAATAAAAAAAAGAGTTATGCATTCTATCACAGTTGTCCTTTGTCAGCATACAAGTGCCAAGACGTCGTAACAGCTGCAGTAGCTTTATTAAACTTTCAACAACTGCATCACATTAACCGAGTCAAATATATCAATTGTATGAGATGTAACTTTCGATTAGTATTATGTTAGAGAATTTAATAAGGTGTCTGGAAAAAAACGTAGGCCCATATCTACTCCATGATTATAAAAATAAGTCACAATTCAGACGTCTCTAGATTACTAGTGCCAGGTTGTTGTTTATCATGTCTCTCAAGGTGTTACCTATAGTTTTACTGTGTATTTATGTGTGTGGCGTAATATCCATGCCACACGGAAATGGGCATCAACCACCACCACCACCACCCCCTGGGGGTCCACCTGGAGGTAAATATTTTTAGTACATACAATATTTAAGTTAAGACTTTGATTTGGGTAAAACAAAGGGTCGATTGAATTAAATTGGATGTGTTGATCTACTCTGTGAAGGGGATATATTATAGAAGTTTAGGTTCCAACCACAGACATAGCCAACAGATTTATTAACTGATACGGATGCTGTTTTCCACACTGGACGGATAAAGCCAAAAAAGCGAAACTAAAACTAGTAAAATCACGGAGTTCCTCTTTATATTTTGAACCGAACGTTTTATCGTATAGATTCTGTTCCATCACTAATCACAATGACACAAGGTGGTGAGGGAGTGGGTGTTGTTCTCTGATTCCGGGGACCTACTCCGAGAAATTGATGAATTCTGACGGATTCTGACCTCTAATCCCGGTTACCATTACCAGATCAGAATGCAAACCTCTGAACAATATACACAAAAACCGATTTGGTGCACTTTGAAGTACTCGTATAGGGCCTACCGAACAAACATCTTGAATCCAGGTTCCATCGCAAATAGTGATCCGTTGAACCCTCTCAGACCTGATGTCTTGTAAAGATATATTTCTAAAATGCATGGAGACAGCCCCACGAAAGTATTTGTGGAGTAGTTATTTACAATAAAGGTATGGCATATTTGGTATAATATAATATATTGCAAGCCATTGATTCTTTAAGTGGCATTTAGTAATTGAACAGTAACACAATAACACTATTTATGGAATAACAATTACTGGTTTATTAACATGCAACGTTTGGACGATGATACTCTTGTCTTTATCAAGCCAAAACACTTAAACTTACTAGAAAAATACTGTATTCCCTGAAAAACCCATAAGCAGCCAACGGGACGAAATTGATAGGGTCTCACTAACTTTTGATAGATAAATTATTTGGATATTTTTTTAGTTCAAATATCGCCAAATCACATAGTTTGTACGCGTGAATACATCTTTAAAGAATAGTTGGCAAAAATGTAAGGACAGTGAAACAATTGCCGTATGCTTTAGGGGGAAAGTGGGAAATGTTAGCAATATTGAAGGAGTCCAAATGGCCCCCACGTTAATTACAACACATTCAAGACTTAATATAAACTTTAAGACTATAAACGATATATAAGAATTAGTCCCAAAAATATGTATATTGTTCTAAAATCGATTAAAATCGACCAATCCTACCATAAGCCATGATCATCTAAAAGCTCATTTTACTTGCTATTGCTATCACACAGTTCCCTACATCGCCATAGACATAACTGAACGCATTTCTATCAATGAAGCTCGATCTCAGGATGTACGTAACCACATCTGTATGGGGTCAAGAAATTGTATTTTACACCAATATCTATGGGTACGATACACCAAACACTCATACACGTTATTGGTTACTTGAAAAAATTCTAAATTTGCACTCTTGAATAATCCTCACTATATCGATAATTTATAGTTGAGAATGTCCACTTAAACTCGACCCACCCCTCCTCCCCAGAATCAACCGTCGATAACCGTAACTTTGAAGAGGCCCGCCGGAACCACGGAGTTCTGGGCGCAGTCGACCTTGTTACGTCCATTACTGAGATATAACCAATTTTGACTTCCTTTGTCGACACAATAAGTCAACATTTAAAATTAAATGTTTTGAAACAAAAATATTAATCACACGGAGCTTGTCCTTTGTTATATCCCATTCAACAAAATCTATTCATCACTTTATCTCCTTACAATTTAAAACCCATATAACATGTACTAACCAAGCAACACACCTACCAATTTAGTTTTAGTCCATCCACCGATTCAGGCGAAAAAGTAAATTAATGTCCAAAGAAAAGAGGTCTAAAACCGAACGAGTTTGCTCAAATCCAGCACACTGTTTTAAGCAGATGAAGGAAAGTGGAAGGGAAATTAGGTCTTATTTTAGTTTACGAGGACTGAAATGTAATATGCTGGTGGATCGTATCTTCCCAACTCTTTAATTTAAACATAAACTAGTCTCTATCATCCAGAAAAATACTCTACGAATATTAGTCTGGATTCCTCGTCAACATTAGAGAATAATAGGTCATCGGCTAGATTATCCGGTCTTTTACATTATCACAAAGTCTAAGGGAGGTAACTAGTCCTAAAACAAGATGTTGACGCCCATGAAATTAATTTAAGAATGCCATTTCAAAAAATCCATATGATTGCATTGCCAGTTCAAAATCCAACACTCTTAATTTGTTTTATTGTAAAATTTCCCTCTTTATGGGCCATATATTATTATGTTTTCTACATTAATCCTTTTTTAAAGCAGGAGCCAAGGGGGGTAACCTAGCTGAAAAGTGTACCAATTTTCTCCTAAATGGTATCAATGTATGTATATCTGGTATCATCAGAATGTAAGTCTGCCGGGTTTCTGGTGGTGGGTGTGGTATTCCACGCCCAAAATGCCATGCCCCCCAACTTGTCTAGATTAGCTCAAAAGTGTACCACATGAAAATCGCACATCTTCAGGTATTACAAAAACACTGACAGACATTTCTAGTGGTGGGGTACCCCTGACAGAGCTATGTAATTGCCAGACATTTGTAGTGATGGAGTATCCCAGACAAGAGTTATCTAATTTCCAGACCAAAGCTAGGCTAGATTAGCTCAAATCTGTACCACCTAAAACAGCTTTGGAGTTGTTCAGTACCACCACAGGAATCATGAATGACCACTGCCAGACAGTTTGTGCGGTGGGTTGCCCCTAACAGACACGCCCAAAATAACACGACCCCAACTAGGATAGATTAGTCGGCACTGTTCCTGTAGTCCAAAAAATTAAAAATTGTGCCAGGATGCGTAGAATACTAATACCTAGCACATATGGAAGAGGTGATAAACTGCGGTTGTAGGAACAATTTTATTTTTCAAAAACGCATTTTTAGCCCCATAAAATGTTTTTTGCCCAAAAATCAATTTCTTGCAATCGCAGTTTATCGCATCTTCCATACGTGCAAGGTATTAGTATCCTACGCATCCTGGCTAAAAATCGAATTTTTTAGAACACGGGAACAGTGCCTGCAAAGCTAGTCAAGTTGGGGGCGTGGCATTTTGGGGCGTGTCTGTTAGGGGTACCCACCGCACAAACTGTCTGGCAGTGGTCATTCATGACTCCTGTGATGGTACTGAACAACTCAAAAGCTGTTTTAGGTGGTACAGATTTCAGCTAATCTAGCCTAGCTAAATATTAGATAACTCTTGTCAGGGATACTCCACCACTACAGATGTCTGGCAATTACATAGCTCTGTCAGGGGTACCCCAGCACTAGAAATGGCTGTCAGGGTGTTTTTGTAATACCTGAAGATGTACGGTACACTGCAATAAGATTTTGGTGTGGTACACTTTTGAACTAATCTAGCCTAGTTGGGATTCATGGCATTCAGGGCGTGGAATACCAGATTTACATTCTGATGATACCTGATATACATACATTGATACCATATAGGAGAAAATTGGTACACTTTTCAGCTAGGTTGACCGGCTGGGCTCCCGGTCTATTTTGTCGTCACGATTGATGTTTGTTTATATTAATGCAGGAGTTATGAAATTTATTGCGGAAAGGGGAGCAATTCTTACTTGACTTGGCCAAAGCTACTGGATAATCAACCATATTAAAAACCAAACTCGCAGTTACGCATGAGCAATGAACTTTTCGTCAAATATTGACTACGGTCCCAGACCCTCTCAGTACGTTGAAGACTAGGGGATTCTGGGTGACTGGGACTAAAAATAAACCAATTATTTTTATTTTCAGAGTTAGAGAGGTGTGATATTGTAGGCGGTACCTGTGTTACACAAGAAGAAGGCTGTTCCGGAACGATTGCGATATATATTTGTATGGATAATAATCAGGCGTGCTGTATGGATTAAACATCACTTATAACTCTACATAGATGACGTCAAAAATCTGTCACAGCCCGTATAACAAAACAATAATAAAAATTGTAACGAAACCTAAATTTGCATATATTATTGTTGTTTTCTTTTCTTTCTTTTTTTTAAAAAAAAAAAAAAGTTGTTATTGCTTTGTATTGCACTCAAAAGAGCCGTCCCATTGTTCTCATGATTTCCGTTACTATAGTTTGGTTAAATATGAACACCAAACACAGGCAATGTGAGTGGTTTATTATACTGGTCGATGGTCGTATTATTAGGAGAGTCTATACACCTGTTCCATTGAAATCCCATATGTGTATATGAAACTGACATTTGAAAACAATTTTGGCCATTAATGGTATTTTTAAGTTTCCGGCGTAATTTAAGTTTACGTTGGACATAAAAATTGGAATCGGCAGATTTGGGTTATTTTGTTCGCATAAGGCTCCATGTACACATCCGGGTGCACTTTAAATACCCCTTCACAGGTCGAAGAAGAGTGGATGGAAACGTAGCTGTCCTCGCAGAATTCCTCTCGTAGCACACTGCATGGAGCATGCCCACCTTCATTAACCGGTAATTAGTGCAGAAATAAATCTGATTAAAATACAGATCTATTTTTTATACTTTCGATGGTCTCCACTACATGAAGTAGTAAAGACCAGTAAAACGAAATACAAAGCGAAACGAATTAGGATCTGTGTTATAACCAGATTGTGCAGAAAATTAAGATGTAAATTTTAAAGGAAAATAGATTGTCATCCCACAAAACATATGAAATTGGCAATTTTATTTTTGAAACAGATCAACAATTGTACAATTAAATTAAATATACAAAGAATTACGTCCCCCACCCCACCCCACACACACTTCATATGATTTTAGTGTAAATTCTACATTTTACCATTTTGTTTCTTATCCGTGTTTTCTGATTACGAATTTTATACCACATAAATATATTAAATAAAATATAAATCAATATATATAAATAATTAAAAATATGAAATCTGTAAGTTCTTTACTTAAAGTTTCATGCGGTACTCCACACTCATCAGAAGAAAAATACAAATGAAGTTTGATTACACGAGGCATGGTAACAACGGTTGACGGGCGTGACGTCAACAGTATACATATATATCGCTCAACATTTGTCCAATGCATTTCTCTGATTTTGCTCCCAATTTATTTCCTACCATGATTTTGACTTCTGAAATCCTTGTCCAGACCATGACTTCAGATATTCTGGCGGGTATCGTACAAGGGGCATAACATACGTTCTCTTTAACAAAACATCGGATACCACATCTCGAGAAGTTTACATGGCTTAGATATATTAATAGTCTTATATATTGTGTACTAATATTATGACAACAGATGTCGAAGCAAGACTGCAGTAGTTGACTAAAAATGAACATAATGTACTTAGCGTTCATATGACATCATGCTGATTTGAATACGTTGTACAAAATAAATCCTACAGTAGATCTAAGTTAAAAGTCATCTCGAGTGATATTAAATAGGGCTGTTCTTCTAATGTTGTTTTCAAAACCAAAACGTTGTCCTATTTTACTTGCAGTTTATCACTACCATTAATTTATGCCTAAACATTTGTTTGGATTAGTCTAAATTACGAAAATCCACACATCTTAAAAAAATTAGTTTTGTGTCTTATTAACAAATTAGAAGAGAAATTTGTAGACGTATTAAATTCTGCAAATGTGTCGACGATTTGTGTAGCACCATGGGTCTTCTGTTAGACGTGAAGAGCGGGGGAACCAAATCCGGTCGCCACATCCTACGTATGACCCATGCATCTTTTCTTACTACATATCTTAGTAGCCTTGTGATCGTCTAGTATTTTCACTTCACGTTGTGTATTTACTTCTTCTTATCTATCTCAGTTAGTTAAGACGTTTGCCTTACCAAGAATAACAATGCAACAGTTCGTTTTTACATTTTATATATCATAGACGGATACATGGATACAGGCATGGTATAGGTTACAATACTAAAGTCATTCTCTCAAACCTCATCCAGCCAGACTCGCTGGGCGAGTCTGCTGATAGCAACTGTTACATCTTTTCCCTTCCAGTGTCAGTGTCTGTCTGCTGTCTGACGATTGCTCACAAATATGATAGTTTTGTAGCTTTGGGTTTTGGACCTTCAATTATCTAATTGGTCAAATATGTAAATAAGTACAGAGATTGGTTAAACAAGCCAAATGATGCAATCTTAATTTTCCTATCACATGTAATACATGATATTCTTATTCCCACAGAACCAGCTAATGTTTACCAAATTATAACTCTTTTTTATGTAACAATATGCCACTCACTCGCTAACTTGATTTAAGTACATATATGTGAATCTAATAATTTGCCAAAGATATTAATTGATACAATAAAATGCCATCATTTTTCTCTATTCCTTGTCTATAAATTTGAAAATAATATCGCAACGACAATATTTCTACACTTGACTGTAAACTCCAGTGAGGTAATGAAGTTCAATGATAACTTTCCAGAAGCAGTAATAAAAATCCCAGAGTGATGATACATAAAGGCGTAGAATGTTTCATTCTATTGGTTTGTAGAAAGAGAGCATGTTGAGGCTTATTGTCAATTTTTTTCTTTTTGATCTCATTAAACCCCAAATAGTTTTGAAAGTTGCTTCGTTCGCCATACCAGCTACAAAATCACAGTTTAAATTTGTATTACGCAAACAGTTTATGACCGAGACTGTGTTTGTCACCAAAGCAAAATGTTTAGGCATGTCTTTAATAACTGCATCTTTTACCTTGTGACGTAAAACACCATAAACATAGACGTCATCTATCCAAAAGAATGGGGACGTTTGTACGGCACGGAACAGTTCAGGAATAAGCCCACCATTCATAACCACAGCAAACCCGCCACAATAGGGCCATGGATAGCGCTGTAAACCTCGAAATTGACTTCGTCTAACCGACCATTTACCAAATCTTCGAATATGTGAGTTGTTATTAACGGTACACCACATAGTTTTACCACTGCCAGGATCGGGAAACTCCGTAAGAAATTTCCACATATCAAAAACGGCATCATCATCAACTTTAATTACATACTTTGCATTTCGACAATTTTCACTGATCCAACGCAAACCCATTACTGCTTTATGGGTAAGATCATGGTATGTATCCACAAAATTGCCTTGGATAACATCCCCATGCATTCGAGCCTCGTCTTCTATCTTCTTCTGTTCGTTTTGATTCCTACTCGGAACCCCGAGTAGAAAGATCACTCGAATCACTGCTGGTTTAAAAAGATAACGCGATGCATAAGTGGTTCGTATGTTTTCACGTCTAGCAAAATGTTTAATCGCAGAATGCACCATAACGAGTACTGTTACCTGAGGAGTGTCCATGCAGATATTTTTATTATTGATAATATAATTACCGTTCAATGTTAATGGAAATGTTTCTGGGGATATAGAATTGGATTTGTATAAATAATTTGTATTTCGTTTCTTAAATTTATTACTGGTTAAATTCTGGGTTGTTGATTGGTGCGGAGTTGAGGTAATACTTATGAACGTAGCCTGTGTCGAAATGAAACCACGTCCCATTGTGGTATAGTGATTATTATTTCGTTTAGGGTTGGTATTTTGACTTATATTCAGAAGTCGTTCCATAACTCTTAGTCTTCTATAAACATATATTTTGCCGTCATCAACCAACGAGATATTGATAAGGACAAACATGTATAGAAATATTACACACAGGATCCCCGGTACCTTCTTTTTAATGCAGAGACGGCATTTTGCTTGTCTCAACATTTTCAACTAACCCTTTTATCTATCTAATCTGAAAAGAAATGTTTTCATTCTTTAGTTCCGTGTATATGTCGTTTAAAAGGTTATTATTTTCAAATGTTAAGAATTATTAATCATCATTAATTCAACTTGTGTTTTATTCTCCAAATAAATTGACAAATTAGATAATACGTTTCAAAACGACACTCTTTGTTGTTTTGTAGGTGAACCAGACTGGCGGTAAATTAATCATATATTAAAGAAATTCTATACCAACCCCTTTTCGAAGAATTTCATTTTCTTTAGCAAGGCTTTGCCCCTGTACTATATCACTATCCAAAATAGAATTAGTATAAAAGGTTGAATTCGTTAGTTTTAGTAAACAGAGGGTCAACAGATGTCAAATAATATTGATTAAGGTATTGATAATAAGTAAAAATTATTGATTATATAATAACCCACAAATCAAATAAAATTAATGCTTTTTTTAAGACATTAAGTTTATGCCAACAATTCGCTCGGCATTAATGTTGTATATTTATTCCATTTTGTTTATGTACGTTAAGTAATTAATGTGGTTAAAAGAGGGCATCCGCGGTGGCTCAGTGAGTAAGACGATGCCTCGCTAACCAATAGGTCTTGGGTTTTCTCCTGGCTTTTACCGAGAAAGTTCCTCGGAATTTACCCCTTATGAGTGGTGCAGGACGGATGGCCTGGCAAGGACCATATTTAGTCCTTAGCGTTCTCGTAAAATATCTTTTGATAATTGGAATTCGTATTAAAACTGGGCCATAGCACTGTCCGGAAAATGTTAAAGCTGTCCGTATGACGAAGCTACTGGTAGGGGTGTGTTGGGTTGCTGTGCTTATTCAGTCCAAAAAAAATATATGTAGCCTTTGGAGTTTGGGCGTTGGGCATAAAACCCGAAATGCAGCCCCTCCTACCCCTCCCCACCCCCACCCCTGGAAAAAAATATTGTCGGTCGCAAAATCAGTGCAGTCGATCGCAAAATAAGTGCATATGTCACGCTACTCACGCAAAACTTTAGTATAAAATAACCATGTCAACTTATCATGTTTGATAAAATATTATGTTTCCCTCTTATTCTGTTGTGAGTATGTACGTGACAAGGAGTAGGGTCGCCTGTCCAACCTCGTGGGTTTTCTCCTGGTCCTCCGGTTTCCTTCCACTGCTAAAGACCCCTACGCGCAAGCGAATTATGGAAATAAAATTGAACCATGTTAGTCCCGAAATCACCTAGTATGTATCGAGTGGACGTTAAACCCCATTTTTTTTCTCTCTCTATCTCTCTCTCTCTCTGTAGTGAGTATGTTGGTCGAAGAACAAAATTTCCTCCAGGGAGAAAAATAGTCGGTCCCTAAAAATATGTGTAGCCTCAAAATTATGCATCGGCGACTTAATGAATTAATGAGATAAACAAACATTGCCAGAATAGATCCCAAATATTTAATATATTATGTATTCGCATGAATCCGTGAGCCTAAATTGCATACGTCACACAAAACTATAATATAAAATAACCATGTATACTTGTCATGTTTGAAAAAATGTTTTTCACTCTTATTCTGTTCTGTTGCGAGTATGTTGTTCTAAGAAATGCCCCCCCCCCCCCAAGGAAAAAAGATAGTCGGTCTCAAAAAGAGTGCTCACCGCAGTGGGTCTCAGACTAAATGAATTAATGAAGTAAACATACAATGCCAAAATAGAAGGGAATAATTTTGTGTGAATCCGTGCACCTAAATTGCAACGGCATAGTATAAAATAACTTGTCATGTTTGAAAAAAAAATTCCCTGTTATGTGTATGTTGATCTAAGAAATTAAGAGAGCTTGTTACGAAGATTTTGATATTTCAAAATACATTCTTGATTGTCATACGAATGATATTAGCCGAACAGTGGTAAAAAGTTATCGGAAGCATAGTTTGTTTCAAAAATACGTAAAAAAATCTTTAAATTATGAAATTTTAAGGCGATCTATATAATTGCACATAAGAATTTTTAAATCCCAGGAAAAAATTGAAACGTATTTTACTCATGTTGTAGATGTTTTCTGACCACCAGGAAATGGCATTTCAGAGACCAAGTAAGCGCCCCACTGAGATAAAATCCCCTCAGGCCCAGTCCTCAAAAATGAAAAATTCCATTATGTCATCATTTTTCAACTCCTCTGTCTTATACTATCTCATCACTATCATATTCAGAGTTGCAGTAAATCGCCATGTTAGTCGTACAACTAAGTGAGTGGGTCGTGGAGCGACAGACTGTAGAATTGTTTTTTCTACTCTCACAAAACAAGCGAAATTGACTGATTGGCCTCAAGATCCAGTCCCATTTCTTACCCTCTCGTTAACGAGAATTTGGTTACATTTGCCATGACATTGACAAAAATTTTCAGGCCCAGTCCCAAAAAATTAAAAGCTCAGTTACATATCTGAAATTTTTTCGCGCCTTCGGCGCTCGATTCCATTATGATATCATTCTTCCACTCCTGTTGTCTTATACTATCTCAGCACTATCTTAGCACTATCATATTCACGGTTATAGTGAACTGCCCAGTTAGTATCACTGGTGTTTGGGTCGTGGGGCGTCAGACTGTACAAATGTTTTGTCAACTCTTGCAAAACAGGCGAAATTGACAGGGACAGATCTCGAGATTCTGTCCCGTTGACTCACATTTCTGGTCCTCTCGTGCACAAGAATTTCTCCCAGCAATGACCTGATATGCCAGGATATTGACTAAATTTTTCAAAATTTCTCAGGTTGCTCAGTGTTATAGCCACAATCATCATATGACATGGACTTTATCTCAACTTAAATAAAACTGCTATCCGGCGAGACAACGATCAGCATACAACTATAGAATTACCGGTATACAATACAATTCTACCGGGACGCTCAATGTTATAGCCAGTATTTTGTTGACATTTATTGTGGGGTGGGATTGTGGAAAGCGCCCTAGATTTGGAACCGCCCCACCCCACCTATTCCCAGCTTTAAGATCAGCTACTGTGCTGCGTCACTCGTACTAGGGGCATGTGTATCAGTGGGTCGCATTTTGGCTAAACACCCCCACCCCCCGTTCAAACAAAATCGGACTGTTCTACCGATTGCGAGTATTCCAGTGATTTAAGAGAGGATGAGTTAGATAAATACCTACGGAAGACCAACAGGGTCAATCAAATGAACAAAAAATATTCTGATTATCTTGTCAACGAAAACCAAAAACATTTTTACAGTTAATCATCAACGGCTTATATGATTCAAATCTGTTGAAAATCGGAATTGATTATTGTCTTGTCATGTTAATAAATGTCTAATTAATAGGTGTTTTTTCACAAATTGAATATAAATCAATTTACATATATTCATATTACATTAATATGTGCTTTTAGAACCAATTTTGTATATTTCAAGGTTCCAAAAAATATATCAATACGCCCTTTAAGAACCCACTGACGTATAGTATTATTTAGGTAAATTTTTATCACATTTTTGGCCGTTTTGTTTTCGTTCGTTTTAACATTTACACAGTCATATAAGTTTTAGTCGTTTTGGATTAGCCCCGTTTCGTCTATATCCCTTTTAAACAAGCCGTTGCCATCTTTACGTTTCGCTAAACCTCTATTTAATTCGATTGAATCCAGGCCCTGCAAATTATCTATCGTTGCGATCTTGATTTTGAATTCTTTAATAATTAATTGGGGTACATTCCGGCTTGGATTTTCAAATATTCTGAGAGATGTAAATGACATTCTTTGGCTTTAAAGATACATTGTCCAGAAAGTATTTATCGGGTGGCTATTCCGAATACAATTATGGCAAATGTGGTATATATGGAAAGTATATACATCCAATCTTACTGGAAAAATAGTGGATTACCCGAAAAACAACCATGGGGCAAGCACTGGGCAAAAATGTCAGGGTATCACTAACTGGCAACCCGACTGTTGTCTGCCAGCTTATTGTGTGCTAGCTTGGCTGGGAGCGGTTGTTATTTCTTGACCAAATGGTTAGGCGGTTTTGGGAACAATGATGGCTGTCAACAGACAACAGACAATTAAACGGCGGAAGAAGTAGTTGACAGAAAATGATTAAGATATGTATGCTAAATGAACATTAAGTAACGAAATATACCTTCTGAAAAATCGACCTTCTAACAACGGGTATCTGCCGACGAATACAAAGTTTTGAGTGGCATTTGAAGCAAATTTTTGATAGATTAATTAGTATGAATATGTTTTTAGTCCAAATATTCTCTTCAAAAAAACGTAGGGGATATTCAGAAACAATACAAAACTGCGGAAATGCACTGCTGTTTTTATTGGAGGTAACCAGTGTATGCTAATAACAGGCCAATTGCCTACACATGAACATAAGCAGTTCATATGGGCTTTTATCTGACGGCCCCATTTCACTCGCAAAAAGATACACCGTCAAAAGTGAAAATGGACGTTTTTGATTTTTGTCTTATAATGAGTAATTGCTCCACCAATCCTCAGACATTCGGCAATTCGTCGTGACATGCTCCTAATCAACCGTCCAATCACGATTTGGGAAATCTGACCCACTCCTCTTGCAGTTCCACGGCCAATTCTTGCAGTGTTGTCTGTTGACGTTGACGTCGACGAACACGTCTCCCGATAAAATTAAACGTAACACGTTATAGCAAAGATACGCTAAACAGTAAATCTTATGTAAGGACCGATAGGAAAGCAAACATGGATAGATAAACCAGCACGCGGCAGTTTTCATCAACACTTCCTTGAAGTGTCAAATTTGACAATGAACCCCTCATACTTGTATGGCGCTATTGCGTGTCGCATGTGCAGCTCAGTGGTCATCTGTGAACATACTCTCAAAGCATGTCAAATGTCCATGACTATTTATCATATCACAACCTGCATAGGTATTTGCATTTCAATACCCCCTACTTTTTTGAAGAGTATTTGCAATCCTGGAAATAAGGCACCTGTCACTGACAATGTCACTGTCACTGACACTGGTGCCTGTCATTTTGTCCGGCACTGATTTGTCTTTTTTTATTGATATTATTAATACATGTCAGGCACTAAGTTGAAAATGTCAGGTACTATTTTATTAGTGCCTGAAATTTTGTCAGGTACATCTAAAACCGTTATTTCCAGGCCTGAGAATTTGGGACTAATTCTTATATATCGTTTATAGTCTTAAAGTCTATATTAAGTCTTGAATGTTTTGTAATTAACGTGGGGGCCATTTGGACTCCTTCAATATTGCTAACATTTCTCACTTTCCCTTTAAAGCATACGGCAATTGCTTCCTTGCATTTTTGCTAACTATTCTTTAAAGATGTATTCACGCGTACAAATTATGTGATTTGATGATATTTGAGCTAAAAAAATATCCAAATAATTTATCTATCAAAAGTTAGTGAGACCCTAGCAATTTCGTCCCGTGGGCTGCTTATGATACCGAAATCACACAGTTTGTACGCGTGAAGGTATCTTCAAGGAGAGCATGAAATCAGTGAATCATTAATAAATGATATCGAATAGAGTATGAAGTTGGTGGAACTATGAAGTTAATGAGTGTATGAACTTAATGATTGGTTTTTAATGAGGGCATGAAATAACGAATGATATTAATGGGAGCATGACCTGAATTTGCCGATCCCGTAAATTACGGTGTAACGGTGATATATTCGAACGTTTTTTTTTAAACCGGATAATAATTGTGACCTCTAGAGGGACCACAAGCTAAAAACGCGATTTTTCGTACAATCATCGGCCATAAATCAGGAAGTTACGGTCCGTTATGAGCGAATATCAACAGGAAGCGGGATCTGTGGGTTATAAACATACATTTCAAGTTTAAACCAAATCGGATAAAAATTGTGACCTCTACAGTGTTCCCAAGCCAAGCTAAAAAAAAGTGATTTTTCTTATAATCAGGGGCCATAATCCATGAAGTTACAGTCCGATATCGAAAGGAACTGAGATCTTAGGGTGATAAACCTATATTTCAAGTTTCATTGAAATCGGATAAATATTGTGACCTGTAGAGTGTTCACAAACAATTGTGGACGGACGGACGGACAGACGGACAGGGGCGACGACAATATACGCCCACATGAAAATGTGGGCGTATAAAAAGAATCCCTGTTAAAGGGACTCTTCCACCCTTTCTATCCTTTGCAGTGAAAGTTTCTTCGTCACTTTTTGGAAAATAATCAAATAGTTAAATGTTGTATTCATACGACCCGCCACAGCCTGAACAGCCATTAGTATAGCATGATATATTATGGGACGGCACCTTGTCGAGCTTGAGATGCGCCCTGGTGTACTATGTATACAATATTTTATGAAGTGAAACCATTCCAGTTTTTCATACGGCCGGCCACAGCCTGAACAGCCATTGATGTAGTATTTATACAATATATTATGGAACAGAACCCTTTCGAGCTTCAGATGCGTCCTGGTGTACTATGATATAATATTTTATGGAGTGAAACCATGTCCAGCTTCATACGGCCCGTCACATGCATGATCTGCCCCTGGTGTAGTAACCTTTATAATATTATGGAACGGAACCTGTTTATATACAAATCTTCTCAGCAGTTACTAAACCTTTTTAGTGCATTAAAATATTCATTTAAGGACAAAGATTATTTGATTTTAACAAACCCCACATATAAATAAAGTATTCTTCTGTGCAAGCAGTAGCTGAAAGGCCACATTTCTTGGATGCTAAGCACTTTCTTTCTTCTCTCTGAAACACATGCAAATTAAAACAAGCCAACAGTGAGGCTGATGTCCCCCGCCGAAATAGGAAAATAATTAGAGGACACATATAAATTTATCACAAATTATCTTTTACAAAGTATTGAACAATCAAACAGTATATCTTTACTTATAGTCTAAGCATACAATGTTTTTGATGGAATAATTATAGCATATTAAGGGGAAAACATGCTCTATGCCTACAGATCTAGAGTTTGGTTGTATCAACGGGTCTATTTTCCATCTTGCTGCAAGTTGTGCAAAGTTCACTGTTTTCTTTCTGTCATTAAATGTCAATTCATTATTGCATACTACATATTTAATTAATTTATAATAGTTTCTTTTTCAATTTGTTTTTTCCATTTATTTGTTTATTTACCTTGCCTATATTCATTGTATTGGATTGTATTGGAATTGCTCAATTGATGCTTTTATCAATACCTGGTTATAATATTATGACATGTAATGTGGCAAGTTGAGTCGGGACATGTAGGCTATAATGTAACCTAAATGTATACATAAGTGGATTTCGTTTCATTTTTTTCGAAAATATTGTACAGATAAAAGAGGAGGAATTACAGGGGTAATACATTGGAAAGCTTCTTCAAGAACTAAAGCATAAACTATATAAACGAGCTTATAAAAAGGAAAAGTTTGTATAAAGACGTTTCGTTTGCACAACTGGGTGATGATAAATCACGTTTTGTCTTTCTAGCAGACGACACCGTTTTACGGCGAAAGCACGCGCTCTATTTGTGACGCTTAATTTATTTTATTATTCACTCGACGTCATCACTTAGTAGACTTACTATTTTTAATATGTTGTCTTCGGTATAAAGCTGTTTATGCACAAAACCAAATACTATGACATAGAATATTTTGTTTCATGGTTTATCGGCATTCTATTTGTCACTCATTCTATCGCTATTTATAGAATAGGCTACCTTGGTTACACAACTACGGTACCAAATGTATCTATTAATAAACTGCTCCCACTCCCAGGCTACAATTTGTACATGCTGTGTCTGCTAACAGGTATTTCCTAGATATCAACGGTCAAATTTCCCCGAATATTATTTTACATTTCTGTGATATGTAAAAAGGTTTGTTAAAATTAAATATTGAATACGATTTTATTGGAATGTACCAAGTTTCATCAATCTCACTTAATTAGAACTAAAGTTATCGTGTCCCAAAGCATCAACCAATCAAATTGCTTATCTCTGCTTACCCTAAGCGGAAAATGCTCATCTTCGAACTCCATCAAGGCATTGACCTAATCAACACATACACCAAGTTTGAACATTCTAGCTCAATTAGGAAGAGAGTTATCGTGCCCCAAAGTATCAACCAATCAAATTGCTTATCTCTGCTTACCCTAAGCGGAAAATGCTCATCTTCGAACTCCATCAAGGCATTGACCTAATAAACACATACACCAAGTTTGAACATTCTAGCTCAATTAAAAGTTATCGTGTCCCAAAGCATCAACCAATCAAATTGCTTATCTCTGCTTACCCTAAGCGGAAAATGCTCATCTTCGAACTCCATCAAGGCATTGACCTAATCAACACATACGCCAAGTTTGAACATTCTAGCCCAATTAGGAAGAGAGTTATCGTGTCCCAAAGCATCAACCAATCAAATTGCTTATCTCTGCTTACCCTAAGCGGAAAATGCTCATCTTCGAACTCCATCAAGGCATTGACCTAATAAACACATACACCAAGTTTGAACATTCTAGCTCAATTAGGAAGAGAGTTATTGTGTCCCAAAAAGTGTGACGGACAGACAGACGGACGGACGGACGGACGGACGGACAGACAGACGGACCCATTTTAATAGTCCCCTGCTTTCTTCGAAAGGCGGGGGACAATGAACGGACATTAAAATATTCATCTAACGACGAAGATTACTCGATTTTAACAAACCCCACATATAACGAAAATCTTCTTCGGTACCAGCAGTAGCTAAAAGGCCACATTTCTTGGATGCTAAGCACTTCCTCCCTTCTCTCTGAAACACATACAGATTAAAATGAACGGGCATATTTTTAATTAAAGATCCCTGGACCTTTGATCGCAATATTCCATATACGTAGACGTCATCTATCCAGAAGAATGGCGACGTCCGTGCTGCATTAAACAGCGCAGGAACAAGTTCTCCGTTCATAATCACAACAAACCCACCACAGTAGGGCCAGGGATACGTTTGATATCCTTGGAACTCACTCACGGGAACTGCCCATTTACCATATCTATGTACAATAGCTTTGGGCATAATATTACACCACATCGTTTTGCCGTTTCCTGTTTCAGGAAATTTGTTTATAAATTTCCACATGTCGAACACTGCGTCATCATCAACTTTTACCACAAATTTAGCGTTTCGACAATTTTCACTGACCCAACGCAGACCCATTACGGCTTTGTTCGTTAAATTGTGATACGTATCCACAAAATCGCCCTGAACGATATCTCGGTATAATTCGGCTTCCTTTTTAATATGGTACTGATCAAGATTATTGTGTTTTGCTGGTAGTCCGAGTAGAAATATCACCCGAATTACCGCAGGTTTGAAAAGATTACGTGATCCGTAAGTTGACCGGATGTTGTGTCGTCTGGCATAATGTTTAACAGCGGAATGGACCATGACAAGAACGGTGACCAGCGTTACGTCACTACATATATTTTCATTGTAAATGACATATTTACTCGTTACTGTTAATGGGTACATAGCTAACGATGTATACTTAATTCCATTTCTATATGTTCTCCGCCCTTTTGGGTCGGGTATCCTCGATGTCATCTCTTTTGGGTCAGGAATATTCGGTGTATATTGAATTCCATTACTATGTGTTCTTCCTTTTGGATCGGAAATTTTGGATGTATATTGAATCCCATTTCTATATGTTCGCCCGTTTGGATCGGGAATCCTGGATATATATTCAATTTCATTTCTATGTGTTCTCTCTTGTTCAATTTGGATCATGGAAACATTTTTATTTTCGTCATCAAGTATTTTCTTTAAAACTTCAATTCTCCGATACATGTGCTTTTTGATGACCTTCATCGACGGATCCTGGATGAAAAAATATATACATGTAAGAAACAAAAAGATAAATATCTTTTCGTGTAAAACTGCTCTTAACGATCGATATACAAACATTTTCATCTCAGCATTTTGAATATCTGAAAAGATAAAAGTGTAGGCCAATAATTAAATGAATTCTACGATATTAAAATGAGCTGCAGTGAATTTTTACAAGTGGTTGGGGGTTGGTTTTAAAGGCTCATCAATGGTTACGTATGTAATGCGAAGGGGGAGGGGGTCGGATTTCCGCCCACACTTCTTCAAATTCAAACTAATAATTGTTCTATTAAGTTCATGAGAATTGGCGAACGATTAGACACACGTTTTAAGGCATTATGATAGATGAGTTTCAAGACGTCAGAATATTGATAAACGTTCATAAAAACTATTATTCAAAATACTGCATCTTCTAACAACTGATGATTTCGCGAGCAACCCATGCTTTATATACTGCACGAAAAGGGGGCGTTGCCAGCTGTTTGTCTTGAATTAAAGGTGACAGCACGTGCTTAAACTGTTCTACAAGGAATTGGATTTTTGGCATGGAATTCGATTAAGGGAGAGAGAGAGAGAGAGAGAGAGATGGGGTTAACGTCCACTCGACACAAACTAGGTCATTTCTGGACTTTCATGTTTCAATTTTATTTCAATAATTCGCTTGCGCGTAGGGGGTTTTAGCAGTGGGAAGAAACTGGATGACCAGGAGAAAGCCCAGGAGGTTGGACAGACGACTCGTCTACTCCTTGTTACGTTCAAGAGGGGATTCGAAACCACTTGATTCAATGACAGACCTTGTAATTTCACGCGCACGCGATAAACCACTTGACCACCCAACCTCCCCAATTCGATGAAGAGGTGGCAACGACGCAATCGAGCCAAACGTTTCCTTATAGAGAAACAGTATGTTAGTCTTAATATGACCGATGTATTGTATTGACGAGATGTTAAACCCCATTTCTTTCATTGTCCTGCAATCTACTGTGCAATATCATCAAATTCACCGGGCGGTTATACAGTTTAGTTTCCTATGCATTTATTTTTTCTATTACACCTAAGCAGAATCGTCGGGTGGAGAATAGGGTGGGTAGTGGGTAGGCCACGCTATTTATAGTTATATGATTGTCTACTAACCTTAAGTATTATAAAGACATCTTTACAATCTTTGACATAAGTAAAATAGCATAGCTGATAAACTAGAAATAGTTTTCAAATATGCGTAGTATCAACACCTGTGAAGGTATAGATTATTTTATTGAAATAATGACTGTAAACGGTTCAATTTATTTAATATCATATTCTGAATAAAAGTACACTTGAATTATAATAATAGCACTTGGTATTGATTAAGTGTATCCACTTGTAACTAATGAGCAAATGCTTGATCGAATATTGCATATTATTCAAATCACGTAATATCTGCAGTTATAACTATTAAGGGTAAGGTAAAGTGACAAAAATTGTCACAACACCTGAAATGGGGGGGGGGGCCTCAAAAAATCATTCACAACACCTTTAGTGCCTTTATTTTGGTGTCTAAATGTGCTTGAGATGATACTGAACAATAAAAAATGGATGAAAATAAAAAAAAAAATGACTTTGGAATTTGTAACTTTGGAAAATATGAATCAAATTTCCTATTCAGCACTGCGCAGCTACAGGGTAAACAACTCAACATGGGAAATCACAAAGTCTCACAGAGATACCTGAATATATACACTACAACCATCAAGACTTCAAATTTTTAAAACTATCTTTGTTTTAGCACACCACGGCCATATAATTAAACTTTTTTTCCAAATATCCTCCATTTTGTTTAAGGGACTACTTTCGGACTTTTTGTATTGAGTACCATCATAAACATCACTTGGATTAAATGTTTCGGGTCTGTATGGAAAATTGTAAACACTGCATCACAATTTCCTTGAAACGGCTTTTGGTTTTCAGCAATTTTTATTTGTATTACTTCTTAATTCACCCCTTGAAACTTTGTGCCAGGGAGCATAAAGATGCATTGACAATTAAACATTGAACATTTTTACTGAGTTTTACAGTAAAATAATTTGTTATAAAATAAAACCAAGTACGAACAATCCAAATCATTAGACAAAATTCGAAGTCCTAAAAAAACGTTATAAGCAAAATAGTGTTATCAGCATATGTATTCACACTCAACACATTGTTTAATCTTAGATTGTACACGAATAGTCCACTATTGAATGTGGAAAAGTCCAGCTGAATGATTGATTGGAAAATATATGATGTTTTTCAAATGGTACTCCATAGAAATGAATTTGCCCCACAAAAATTATATCTAGGTAACAAATTCTATATCAGACCCTCAAAATGATTATTATTCTAACATACATGAATAATAATCTATCCAAAATTTAGAAACAAGGCTTTTTGCTAACATTTACTAACACATGACAACGGCAGCCATGATAGCTTAGATTTTGACAGTTCTGTTTTCATCAATTTACAGAACGGTCCATATGAATAAATAATGTTGATATTAAAAGATGTGACAGTTCTTGAAAATGAAGCACAATAGTCTATAATAATACAATGTACCACCTGATGTAAGGATAACTGTGATAGTATAAGTCAAAAAGTATTTACTGCATTTTTATTTACCTTTCTGTGTCGAATTACCGCTCAAAGGAAGTGTTGCTCCCATCAATGAGTTCATGTATGACTTATTTCTTTTAATATTATCAAATCTCGTAAATGACACCTCATTTGTATTTTGATATGAATTAATCGTATTTCCCAGTTGTTTCAATTAAAAAAATAAAAAATTTGTATTTAAAATTAACACTTTGCTCATTGATATTAGCATAAGGTCAAGGAGTTAAAGCGAGATCAAGCCTTCTATTGAAGTGGGTTATATAATATTGGTTTGGTCTAAACCAGTGTTTCTCAACCTTTTTTTGCCAACGGCACACCTTTGAACACATGAAAAAATAGCGGCACACCTGGCTAAATATGTATGAAAAATATTTGAAGTTTGCACAATAAAAACATGGCAAGTCATAGACACAGACTAGTCATAGACACATAGAATGACTCAAACTAAATAAAGAAAACACAGCTATGAACATACTTTATTGCAGTGTTTCGAAATTCAGATAGCTGGTTTCTTTAGTGAGAAATTTTCTTGGTGTGCCGTTCAAAATTTCGCGGTACACTTAGGAAGATCTCGCAGTACACCTGTGTGCCGCGGCACACTGGTTGAGGATCACTGGTCTAAACTCAACAAAATACATAATGTGATTGCATCACAATTCCTCTAACAGAAAAAGTATTATTACACTCTATTTGTAAGAAATACAATTCATGAAAAAAAAAGAAAGACACATATTTGAACTGTAGAGCCACTTTATATTTACACGTTACATTTAATTTGATGTTGGCTAGGTCGATCTTGGTAATATATAAGGCTTTTTTTTAAAAAAAAAAAGGGGGGAAATCACACCAAAAAAACCCCCCAAACAAACCAACAATAACAAACAAACATTTACATTCCAAAGTAAATGTACGGTCCTAAGACGCCCTAAAGATAAATTTTAAATGTTCCTTTTATGAATTAGAACAGGTTTCGCTTAAGTTTTTATATTTTACGCTGACATTTTATTGTTTTAAATCTTCCTAGTGCAAAAACAGACACTTTGACCTTTTGGCCTCCGAGGTCACAAAGAACAAAGGGGAATTTAGCAAGTTAACATTTTTATTGAAAGGTTGATTACTTTCCATCATTTTCAGCATGTTTTCATGATACAAGAATGGATGCGCATTCACTTTCAGTGCAAATGACCTCATTTGACCTTTGACCCCGAATATCTCGAAAACACCCCCAACGGTGGACTGATTACCACTCGGCTCGGCATCGTATTCTACGCAAAATTTTACTCTAGATAAGTTGGGTCTGGTTTATTGTGCCCATTTGATGGAATATGATAGTGATTAGGCGACAGGCGGTATCTGGCCAGATCCATTTATCTCGACGATCGAACGGTCCCTGAATTGCTGCCAGACTGCCTTTCCGGCAGTCTTCGGCGCTCACGGGGGAAAGTTGCTTCCTTCGATTGCCTCAGTTACACTACAGTTGCAACCAGATTAAAGAAAAAAATAACCACCCAAAACATCAATTATTTTATATCCCTTTAACTTCTCGAATGTTATTGGTGTCTGTACGTCTATATTTCTATGGTCTGTACCCTTAGCTTTGGCGTCATCTGTGATTAGAGTTACGTCCCTTACAGGAAAACTCTTTAAGTTAAACCTAGCAGACAGCAAATCAACATGTTTCTGTCAAATACTTGATAATGACACGCAATAAACCACGTAAATTACATCAGTGTGTACAATTAAATGTCAAGAATGAAGTTCATAAGTCTAGTCCTCGGAGTTTTGGTCTTTTTCGGAATCATACTTTCATTATTTTTTGACTTTCTAAACCCAGACAGTCTGTCGGATGAAGACGATTCTCAAGTTTATCAAAACCAAGTTGAAACAGGTCAAAGTTTAAGTGACGAAAACAAGAATTTGTTCTGGTTTATTCAGGTAGCTTTAAGTAGAAATAGACTCATAGCCATGGTTCCAACCAATGTTTATATTTTCCATCGATAATATTAGCCAGATGATAATATATATAATGGGTCATATGTAGGTAGTTACTCACAGACATTGATTGAAATTCAAATTGTGGGAGGACGGGTGGATGGCTAAAGGTTAGCTTGTGTGGGTTGTATCATACGGTCTGTCCTTAAGTCAACTGGTGTGGTTTCGATATCCCAGTTATACATGGCAAGGAGTAATAGGGTTGCCTAGGTCTAACCTTGTGGGTTTTCTCCCACAGTTGCTAAGCCTAAAGACCCCTACTTGCAAGTGAATTTTTGAAATAAAATTGGACAATGTGTTAGTCCCAAAATGACCTAGTTTGTGTCGAATGGAAGTTAAACCCTCCCTCGCTCTCTCTCTGAAATTGTGGGGTCTGTGGTGGCTCAGTAATTAAGATGTTGGCTCCTAGCTGGAGGTCCCATGTTAAATCCCAGTGTTGGCCAAGAGGAATAATAATCTGGATTATTCGACCTGGTTGCCCCTTGTTAGTGGTGCAGGACTGCGGGTATGAAAATAGGGACAACGTATATGGTCGTTCGATGTAATGAAAAACCATTGGCGTGTATGTAAAATATACCTTTGCAGTTTGGAATTTGATATAAGAGTAGGCCATAGTGCCATTATCCAGGCAAAATTCCCTCGATAGCCCACTGTACACCTCATGCCCATCTTCCATTAGCCCAGTCGGAACAGAATTGTAGGACGTTAAGCTCTATTTCATGCTTAAAGTAAAAAAAAATTCAATGAAGTCAGTGGTCACAGCCATCATTCAAATGCTATATGAATATTCAATTGAATTGGAAGTAATCATTTTCTAGACCTTTTATGGTGCATTTTAATATTTCTAGAAGCTACAAACATATATTTTCCTTTATCTTTTTGTTGTGCCCCGCTTTTTGAAGAAAGCAGGGAACTATTAGTATTAAAATGGGTCTGTCTGTCTGTCCGTCACACGTTTTGGGACATAATAATTCTGCTTCTCTAATTGAGGTAGAATGTTCAAACTTGGTGTAGGTGTCTGTCTGTCCGTCAAACTTTTTGGGACACAATAATTCTGCTTCTGATTGAGCTAGAATGTTCAAACTTGATGTAGGTGTTTATTTTCTGCTTAGGGTAAGCAAAGATAAGCAATTCGATTGGTTGATGCTTTGGGACACGATAACTTTAATTCAAATTAAGTGAGAGTAGTTTCATTATTATATCAGTACCTTGAAGTTTGATAATGAGCATTTTCTGCTCAGTGTAGGCAGAGTGATAAGCAATTTGATTGATCGAGACTTTGGAACACAAAACTCTCCTTCTAATTGAGGTAGAGTGTTCAAACTAGGTGTAGGCACTTCAAAACCTTTACTTAAATTGATCTTCAAGTTCAATATTTTATGCTTAGATTTAAGTACAGATAATCAGTTTGATTACTCTATACTTTTTAAAAAGATAAATTTGCAATTAATCAATATGTGTCATTTATTCGGTGGGGGACATCAGCCCCACTGGTAACTTGTTTATTTTTAAATATTAGTTGATTTCTATGAATTAATGTTAGTAAGCATTTCATATTATATAGGAGACAAAAACAGATCAAATTCCATTAGTTTTAATTGATTTTGAATAATAAATATTTAGAAATCTGAATCGCCTGGATCAAACAACTATTCAAATATTTGTGCAAGCTAGGTTTGATTTTTAAAGCTTTACTACTTTAGTTCTGATATTGCCCTACCTAACTTTTAGCCAGATATTTAGAGGTTCATTTAGCATAGCTTTAAATAAGTCTAATCACATTGGGAACACAAATCTAATAAAACCGTATTCTGGACTTGTTGAGATCGGGAGGATTCAGTCACTGGCCCAATGAGTGTCATAGCTAACCATGATTTTGTAATATATCTATTACAAACCATACAGTGTTAGATATTTGAAATTGGATTTTCAGTAGCGTTGCTCAGAAAATCCCTTTTATTTATTGGGGGTCATGGTGGCTAAGTGGCTAAGTGGCTAAGACGCTGGCTCGCTAGCCAAGAGGTAGGGTGTTCGATCCCAGCATTGGCCGAGAAAGTTCATCCAGATTTTCCGGCATGGTTCCCCCCTTGTCAGTGATGCAGGAAGAAGGACCCGGCAAGGACAGCTGTCTAGTCGTTCGGATGTGACAAAAAATTGACCTCCCATGTACACATTGGCGTGCAGGTAAAAGATCCCTTGACAGTTGGAATTCGATATAAGAGTAGGCCGTAGTGCTGCTGTCCGTGCAAAATTTTCCTCAAAGTACACTGTATGGCGTATGCCCGTCTTCATTAGCCCAGTTCGGAGCAGAACAGTAGGACGTTAAACCCTGTTTCATTTCATTTCCCTTTATTTATTAAGTGTAGGTCTAATCAAATTTAAGCAATTTTGAATGTAGTACATACATATGTAATCACTAATGTATTTTTTTTTCTCTTGCAGATAACAGATTTACATATAAGTAAATTTAAAGATTTTCAGCGTGGTCCAGATTTAATAGAATTTTGTAAAAGTCAACTGAGTATAATAAAACCAGAGTTGGTTATCACAACAGGTGAGATCGATTAAATACACAGTCAGTTCTATATATCAAGAGAAGTATTAGACATCAATTAATGATTAAAGGACAATATTGGTGTCAGTCATTATCACATATGTGATAGAACTAGTTAAACACCTTCCCAATATAATTTGAACACAGAGATCATTGCTACGATAGATGCGTTATAAAGCTTTCAAGAAAAGGAAGTGACGAACGCAAAAGGAAAACACAAGTTATCCTTCTATATAACTGACTGAAGTAACAAGTGATAACAGATACACGGGCGAATTACTGCTCACTAATAATTCCTTCGAAGACCAAAAGTTGTTATATGAGACTGTGAGAGGACATATTATGATGGTCTGGGAACAAACTTACCTAGAATTTGTTATTGCATGTATGTGTGCATGTCCAAATTTATAGTGTACACATATTAAAGGACAATATTGGTGTCAGTCATTATCACATATGTGATAGAACTGGTTAAACACGTTCCAAATATAATTCCAAATACTGTCAAATTGTACATTTCAGGTGATTTGGTTGATGCCAAGCTTCCAGACTTTGTTTCTTCTACACAGTTTATAGAAGAATGGATGGAATATAAAAAAATATTACAAATATGTGAAGAATATACCACAGCTAAATGGCTGGATATCCGAGGAAATCATGGTATGTAAGATATTATCTGAAAGCAGTGAAATCAAATGGGTTTTGACATCCTCTTTTTCTACACCTAATGGGCTAATAAAGATGCAGCCTACTCTTATATTTATATCGAATTCCAACTGCCAAGGGTTGTTCTTTTATGTGCATGCCAATGTGTTCACATGAATTCGATTTCCATCCCATCTGACTAGGCACTGTCCTTGCCAGGTATTCCATCCTACACCACTTACAAGGAGAAACTGTGCCAGGAAAGCCGGAAGAACTTTCTATCTGAAAGTCCCAGAATACAGTATTAGGTATGATCAGCAGATTATGAGTAGTTCATCATGTTCAATAGTCTTTCTGAATACATCTTGGACAAAAGATCAAACAGTTAGCCTGTACAGTTATGTTTGTTATTTAAACTGCATGATGTTCAGATATAGAGACTGATTCAAAGTCTATGAATAAATGCATTAATAGAGCTATCCTTTTCTTAATTCCAGATGCATTTGATGTTCCGGATTTAGAAAGTCCTAGAAATTATTACAGGTAGGTTTATTTTCCCCAACAATCTAATATATAAATCATTTGGTATATTTACTCAATTAGAAATAATTTGACTAAAAAGTGAAACTTGGAATGTACACACAGCCATCTGCGTCCTTGAAAATAATGATTCAAAAATTGTTCACTGATTTATTTCACGTGGTTGTAATAACCGTCTTAACATAAAACTTCTAGGATGTTTGTATGGACCATCTGCCATACTAGATCTTTAAAATTTGTTGGCTACATTAACTCCTGAATATTATGAGCTACATTAACTTTTGGTAACAGATGTTCTAACAATATTAATAGTTTTCTTTTGAAGATGTGGTATTCTTTTTCTTTAGTAATTTATTTTCTTAAAACTGTTGCATCTTTTAGCATTAATTTGTATTAATGAAGAAGACAAAATTAAAAGATCAATGGTAGATAATCTCCTGGCTTGGATTCAATCTTATTAAAAACAGGTCCATCGAAATTTATTGAAAAATTTAAGTGGCCATATCTTGTTTTTATCACCCAATAACACATTCTGCAGTAGATATCGCTTGTGTGATAACTTTCATATTCTACTGAGGGATATCTCCTAGGAGATATCGCTTTCAATCTATGCCAAAGAATTATATTTATCTATTTGTGCATGTAAGAAAGGGTTGAGTGATAAATAAAATCTGCTTCTCATCATTTTCGATATCAAAAAACACCTGAATGGAATTCAAATATTTTTGGATTGATATTCTTTTTAGAGAATCAGATTTCACAATGTTGTCATTTGTGAGGGATTAAAAATCAGTTAAATGATGTCTAGAGACTCTTCTAATATTAAAATTGAATTATACTGAAATTTGATCTGTCCGTCTGTCTGTCCGTCCGTCTGTCTGTCCGTCACACTTTTTGGGACACAATAACTCTCTTCCTAATTGAGCTAGAATGTTCAAACTTGGTGTATGTGTTTATTAGGTCAATGCCTTGATGGAGTTCGAAGATGAGCATTTTCCGCTTAGGGTAAGCAGAGATAAGCAATTTGATTGGTTGATGCTTTGGGACACGATAACTCTCTTCCTAATTGGGCTAGAATGTTCAAACTTGGTGTATGTGTTGATTAGGTCAATGCCTTGATGGAGTTCGAAGATGAGCATTTTCCGCTTAGGGTAAGCAGAGATAAGCAATTTGATTGGTTGATACTTTGGGGCACGATAACTCTCTTCCTAATTGAGCTAGAATGTTCAAACTTGGTGTATGTGTTGATTAGGTCAATGCCTTGATGGAGTTCGAAGATGAGCATTTTCCGCTTAGGGTAAGCAGAGATAAGCAATTTGATTGGTTGATGCTTTAGGACACAATAACTTTAGTTCTAATTAAGTGAGATTGATGAAACTTGGTGTATAGATTTATTATATGAATACCTTAACTAAGTTCGATAATGAACATTTTTTGCTGAGGGTAAGCAGAGTGATAAGCAATTTGATTGGTAGAAACTTTGGAACACAATAACTCTCCTTCTAATTGAGGTAGAATGTTCAAACTTGGCATAGGTGTCTATTAGGTGAATGTTTAAACTTGATGTATATGTAGATGTTCATTAGGTGAATGTCTTGACTGAGTTCAATAATTAACATTTCGAGCTGAAGCTAAGCAGAGCTAATCGATTTCATTTGTCGATGGTTTGGGACAAGATAATCTTGATTCTATCTGATAGAGAGTGATGAAACTTAGTGAAAAAAATAAATGTGCGATTAATTAATATGTGTCATCTATTTATTTTGCAATTTCGGCGGGGGACATCAGCCTCACTGTTGGCTTGTTTTTTTTAATTTTCAGGGAATATTCAAAACAAGGTCCCAATCATTTAACTTCTTATTCTTATACACATACTACCAAATATGGTAAATACTCGTTTATTGGAGTGGATGCATGTCCTGATCCTGGACCTAAACGACCATTTAATTTCTTTGGTCAGCTAAACACGGTATGTTACTTCTCAGTTATTTTTACTCTTCACATAATTATATAGACATTGTAAATGATGGACAAATAACATGATTTTTTGAAGCAATGATTGGATCCTGAAGCATTTTACATTTGAAATGGGGGTGGTTTTAAATTGATTTGATGATGTATTTTGACAAAAAACATGTGCAGGCTAATATATCAAAAGTTTGCTTCAAATCCCTCTCATAACATTTTAATCGAAACTGTCAAGCCATAAAAATCCATTTCAAGCATCCTCGTTTTATCTCATGACTTGATTTTCTCAGATACTGAGCAAGCTAAGGAAGGATCCATTTTTAGCTTGTATTTGTCTTTAATCGCCATTCATCATAGATATCAAGTTATCCTCTGGGATTATCCCTAGCCAATTACTTTTTCCACCATTTAATCACCGAGCCTGTTGTCCATTTAATTCTCTCACTGTCTCCACAACAGCTAGCCATTCGATCAACACATACAGCTTTTGTTTTGGGAAACAGATGTTATATGAAAACAATAACCCAGCATATATTTTTATTGATAACAATAACACTCCATGTTAGTATTCTTACTGTTAGTATTGATGAATTGACTTATTTTTAGGACAAATTAAATGATTTAGCTAAATTATCTGAAGAGAAGAATGACAGTAATTTAACTATTTGGTTTGGTCATTATCCAACGTCTGTAATAGTAGAAGATCCTCCAGGAATTAAACATGTCATGAGGTGAGTATCAAGTATTAAATAACAGTATTGAATGGTCAATAGATATACTGTACCATTCCACGATTGGATAAAATGGCCTAAATGCAAGCCTTGAAATAACTGCTAAGGTTCAGCCTGACATCATGTCGGCCGAATATTTCAGATTTTCAGCCGGACATATACTTTATGTATATAAATATTACCAAAAAAACTGCTCAAGTTAGTCCTACATTTATAAACTGATTATTTTACAATAATTAAACATACCTTATGCAAAAGCCAAATCTGCCTATTGCAGGTCTTTCTTTAGGCCTGAAATGTTTTCTAAATTATTAATTAGACATTACTTAACTTATCCAGGCCATAATCAACTCTCAATGGCATCAGATTTCTCCCATATTAGATAGATTAGAACAGTTCAGCCATATTTTGATTTAAGCTAAAAATGGAGGAGCGAGGCTTAGCTTCGAACAACCAGTACGGTGGTTAAAAGTATTGCACACGTCTTGTCAAACCTTCAAAGGCTAATATCTTCGCTCACAATAAAGTAATTTGAATCAAATTTTCAAATTATTCATTTTGCATTATCTATTTTCGAACTATTATAGCAAGAATGACTAGCTCTTCAGCCATATTTTGATTTAAGCTAAAAATGGAGGAGCGAGGCTTAGCTTCGAACAACCAGTACGGTGGTTAAAAGTATTGCACACGTCTTGTCAAACCTTCAAAGGCTAATATCTTCGCTCACAATAAAGTAATTTGAATCAAATTTTCAAATTATTCATTTTGCATTATCTATTTTCGAACTATTATAGCAAGAATGACTAGCTCTTTATCTAAATCTTACATAATGTATCTTTAATATTATAAGGCATTTTTTGACGTAGATTGGCACAACTCCTGTATTTTCGAGTCTAATAATTATCGATTCAAATGGATATGTTTTGTTTTTAACGAATGGAGTATTATTTTTGACTTAATGGACAATCATGTCCGGACAAAAGGCAATTTGACCTGTCAAAAGGGGTCATTTAGTTGGCCAGACATTGTCAGGGCATGAATAAATGATCGAAAGTCTTGATTATTACATGGATAAAACTCTCCTCCCTCATCAAAAGGATACATACCAGTATTTAGAATCTAGACATTGTGTATATTGTTAAATGGTGAACACCATATGTATAAAATAAGTATGATTTTGTGTTTTACAGAAAGGGTGTAGTTTATTTATGTGGTCATCTGCATACACTATTAGGTTTAGTACCATCTATGTATACAAGACAGAAAACTGGAACACTAGAGTTAGAACTTGGTGACTGGAGAGATAATAGGATGTAAGTATAGACTAGATTCTATGGTTTAATTTTAGAAATCAAATTCAATAGTAGGCCTACATATTCTATATGTTAAATGTTGTGCGTATGACCAACTGAACTTTGGTGGAGGATCAGTAATTCTTAAGCCAAGAATAGTTATTACATAAACAAGATAGAGAAACTTTCTTTGGATTGGATCACACTCCATTATCTGTAAGATGATCCAAGAGGATCGGTAAATGAGAGCAATGGTTTTGTACTATGTTTAATCTATATGTGCTACAGACAGCATATACCAGAACAAATTGTTGTTTTGGAACATTATTATAATGTCTTATTTGATCTGCAGATGAAATATTGTGTTTTGGCTCGATCAGTAACGTAGTGGTTCTGGGAACTTTAATGTGTTAGCCGAGAAAGATCCTCTGGATTGTCTAGCTTGATTTCCCCTTGTCAGTGCTAGGAAATGTGTCTAGTCATTCAAATGGAATGAAAAAGTGAAGCTCTGTGTATACTATTGGGAGCCCGTTAATGATCCTCTGAGAGTTGAAAATTGAAATAAGAGGAAGCCATAGCACCATTGCCTTGTCCAATTTGGCACGGCTAACATTGCAAGTCATCATAAATCTGCAAAAAAAAAAAATGTAGAACCCAGTTTCATTTCATTGCAATGTTGTGTGACCTGCAATGGCTTAGGGATCCGCAGTGTCTACATGGTTACTACATGTACATATAATTAAATTTCGTCTGAAAAATAAACAAGACTTCTCTGTTTACCACCAATATTTTATTTTTGTTTCAGGTTTAGATTGTTAGCTGTTGATAATGATTTGTTATCATTTGTTGATATGAAAATATCTCATTGGCCAGTGGTATTAATAACTAATCCTAAAAACTCTCAATTTCAAAATGCCAGACATGAACCATTAGACATAATGAAAACATCGACTCATATTAGGTTAGTATATGACTGAAATTATTCTTTCTTATTCTTATCTAAATTCCACATCTGGTTCTAGTACCCAAAATTCTGTTATTAATTATAAAATATCTGGAAACGCATTCAATCTCAACATTTTTTAAGTGGTGATAAGTTTGTATTATTATATGAATATTTTTCAGGTTTTTAGTATTTAGTAATGGTGATATTACATCCGCAATAGTTAGTATAGATGATAAAAAGTTAGGTTCTGCTCAAAATGCAGATGGTCCTTTATATACCATAGCTTGGGATCCATCACAATATACCAAAGATATGCATATTATACATATTGTTGTTACGGTAAGCAAGAAACTCTAGATGCTGAAAGATGAAGAGTCCAGGAACAATCTAAGTCACATTTTTGTCTTTTCGCATTAAAAGGCAAAACAGACTTTTGGACGAGAATGCTTGACATGAACAGAACAACCAGTGGGTTTAATTACAACTTCAAAATGATGTTTAATACGAATCATAATTACCAGTACAACAACTGACTTCCACTTTTCAGCCAAATTAAGGTCAAATAAAGGGTACGATGGACTTGTATTTGTCCGGGAGGCCATTTCAGAAGGACCTGAAATTGATTGTTCCACAGAAAGCTTATACAATTTGCTACCAGATGGCGCCATTAACTGGGGTTCGTTGAAAAAGTGACTTAGATCGTTCTTCCTCGGGGCTCCTTAGATATTTTACAGTAGGAAAAACCATTCAGTGTTAGATAATTTTAAATTTGTGAGGAGGTCTAATAAAAGTAAAATGACTGTCTGAATTATTAAGTTTATGAAGTTGATGTAAGACAGTGTGTCATTCAAAAAAAAAAAAATCATACAATACAACATTTTCATGTGAGGTAAATTAATAAAAAAAGTCATGCATTATTTCTGTTGATAGGATTCTCTGGGCAATAAGAGAGAAGTAAAACAACCATTTTCTTTAGATGGAAGAACAACAGCAGGGTTTGGTTTACTGCCTCGACTAATATTGATGTTGAATATATCAGTAGTGGTAAGTAGCGTAAAAATGTTACAAGTTACAATGTTACAGTTTAAAGATCATTAACCTTTTGTAAAAAAACAACCAATTCTTGGTCAAAACATGAATTTCTGTTAACCTGTAGTTCATTCAATTATTGTATACATATACAGTACACCAATTAAAACAACTAATAATATGTTATTATTGTTTTCCAGGGTAAAATGTGGTTTGGGGGTTTTGTTTTCTTTTTAACATTTTTCCTGACATCTCTACGTCAATGTGGTAATATAAGACGATACTTCTTAGAAGGTACGTATAACATTTATTGACATTCTATAAATATATAGTTGACAGCTCAACACATACTAAGTCATATCGGGACTAACATATGGTTCTGTTTTATTTCAATAATTCGCTTGCACGTAGGGGTCTTTAGCAGTGGGAGGAAACCAGAGGACCTGGAGAAAACTCACGAGGCTGAACAGGCGATCCTACTCTTTGTCACGTACAGCCAGGGAATCGAAACCAACGCCAGTTGATTCAATGACAGACCTTATGCTGCAGTGTGCACATGGTAACCGTTCGGCCATCCAACCCCCAGGCTATACAATATAAAGTAGACAGCTCAGTAAGAAAATGTAGACTGTACAATATAAAGTAGACAGCTCAGTAAGAAAATGTAGACTATACAATATAAAGTAGACATCTCAGTATATGAGATAAGAAAATGTAGACTATACAATATAAAGTAGACATCCCAGTATATGAGATAAGAAATGTAGGGATACAATATGCTGGTCAAACATCAATTCATTGTTATATTCAGACAAGCTTTGATATCTAAATTTAAGGTTTTCAGTTCCCCATTTTGAAACTTTTCAATTCTTTGGTGGTTTTCTCACTATAGATGCTAAACAAATGGATCAGGGACTATGATAGGCTATATATTTAATATTTTGATATTTAAAATGTATTGTTTTATATTACAGGAGAAGGGAAAATATGTTATTTATTTAATATTTGGATATATAAATTATGGTTGACATCTAGAACAAATTTTACATATTACGCTACAATAGGATTCATTCTTTATGTTACTTTTGGTGAGTATATGGTATCTGCTGCTCATGTAATTGTATAAACACATTATTCACAAAGTGAGCACTGAGGGTTTGAGTTTGCAAATAGGGTTTGGGGCTATGTTCCTCTGAGAAATAAATAGAAATTCTGGCACTATTTAGTTATTAGTGCAATCTCAGTGAATTTGATACAAATTTTGACTGAATAGTTAGAAGAGTTTATCTGGTTCCTTTTTTTATCTCTGTGTTCGAGACTGCTATCGACTAAAGGACATTCGTGGTGAGAATATTCAGATATTTTGCCATCATATTTTATGCTCCCCGTGAGTTTGGTACAGTAGAATCTGCATTAAGCAGCCACCCAAGGGAATTTTCACAACTGACCGCTTAACGGGAGTGGCCTCTTAATAAAATCTCGTTGCTTTTTGTGCCGACATAAATTAAATATTACGCTTGGATGCATTGGAAGCAGTAAATTTGGCCGTCGCTGAATCTTGCGCTGAACGAAAATTCTTTACTCAAATCTCGGACATAACTTAACGGGAGTGGCCTCTTAATAAAATCTCGTTTATTTTGTGCCGACATAAATTAAATATTACGCTTGGATGCATTGGAAGCGGTAAATTTGGCCGTCGCTGAATCTTGCGCCGGACGAAAATTCTTTACTCAAATCTCGGACATAACTTCTGTAAACTTGTCATTTTGTACCAACCTTTGATACTACTGTCTACCATTGTGATGCATTCGATAATATTTATCCATTTTTGTGAAGAAAATCGATGAATTCATTTTATTTTATCAAAAAAGCACATGAACAAAAAACATCGCTAATTTTATCTCCTATTTACAGGGGGTGTAACTCTGTATGTAATATTATAGGATGCGCTAAGAGAGATACTAGATGATCGTGACAAAACTCGGTACTTTTATTTTATTCAATCAGTATCAAAAAATGTGTCGTTACGCGTGAAAACAATGATCAGGTTAGTCGTTTAATAAAACAAAAGATTAATTAACAGATAATCCCGGGTTGATTGTTATGTTTACATTTCTTTTTAACTGATCAGTGGGGGTGCTCATACAGATTCTACTGTACCAACAAATTTTGGTATCAGTTAAGTCACCCTACACAGCCAGAAATGAGCGCTAATAAAAGTTGAGCTTTCAGCAGTGAATGTTCAACCTCAAATGATTATTTTCTATGGATATATTTTTCTATGAAAAGTAAATCTTTCAATGTTTCACTACTTTTCTTCGATTCACAATAAGAAGTGTTCATTTTTACCCTGTGTTACCTACCTAGGATCTGGAAGAAATGTTAAATAACCTGTGTTCTGGTTGATGTGAGAATTAGCCAATCAAATGGTCTTTTGAGTCAAGTTGTTATCGTCTGTCATGTGGAACTGTGGGCAGACATTCGCAGTGATAGAAAACAAATCTAAGTAAAAGTTGTATTTCAGAATACTCCCTTGAAACATAGACACAGATTGTTTATTCAAATAACTAACGTCATTGGGTCAAAAGCTGCTCATATTCCCCCAAATCCCCCAACAATCGATCAGATCTTCATGTAGTGGAAGCCATCAAAAGGAAATATAGATCTGTATTTTGATCAGATTGCTGGCTACTACTTCATATTTTTTATCACAGACTATTTTATGTTTTCTTTTAGATAGAAAAGAATGAGCATACTGTGCAACAAAATGACCACACATTACATGTATAAAGGTTTTAATATTATATTATTGTTTATTGTATATAGGTCCATGGTTTATAGGTGATCTATTAGGTGAACATACAGGATGTGTATTTGTATGGGGGATATTTATTAAAGATACCTTTTTACCTGCAAGTATCACCTATTTCTATGGAATATTTCAGGTATGTATAACTTGTATACAAAACTTTAGATATTATGTCAAGTCAATTCGATTATATAACTTGTGATTTGTCAAGTTTTAAAATCAGTTTAACCAGATTCATAATAAAATAGTTGACCTTTAGAATTATCTTTGTGCCATTGTTGTTTAAATGTTTCAACTTTTTTTACCAGTCAGCAATCTAATTAAAATATAAATCTATATTTCGTTTCCTTTTTTATACTTTCGATGGCCTACACTACATGTAGATCTAACAAGTTATAGTGGGAGTTCACGTTCTATGACGTCAGGTACCAAGCAAGCGACATTTGACCCGATTACGTCAGTCATTCGATTAACCAATTAGCGACCGCCATGTATTTTTTATCTACTTTTGCTTTGTTTTGATTTCTATTGTCACTAATGTCTACCCACAGTTTCGCGCAAAAAAGGTCAAACGCTCGATTCGACCGACCATTTGATTGGCTGACGACTCATTTCAAGCAGAACACAAGTTAAATAACAACGCTTCCAGATCCAAGTGTAGTAAAGACAAATTAACCGAAATTTTGAACTATAAAAACGAAACGAAATTGGATCTGTGTTTTAATCAGATTGACCAGTCAGTATCAAATTAATATCTATCTTTTTTTTTTCAGTTGATGACATTCAACGTTCCTCTTATGCTGATAACAAGTCATATATTAGATATCCGATCTCGACAACGTAGTAGAAACATCATTCAATCCAACACCCACCTTATCATTCCATTTATAGTACTCTTAGTCTTTCAATCATATTTAACCTACCGAGAATTTCCAACTGCCTATGGTACGAAAGCTTTAGTAATGGGGCCTGTTCGAACTGGCTCAATAATTTATGGGCTTATTTTGTATTACTATGCTCATCAGATTAGAATAAATGACGGTAAAAATCCGCCAAGTTGTAGTTCCAGTTGATGATGTAGAATTTTTAATTAATCAGATTTTAATTGTAATATATTTTATTCGAAGACTTATTAAAGTCATGACCCATTTTATATCTGCAATGCAGAGCAATACATTTTTCACCATATTCATTTATTTATTTTACATGCAAAAAGATATGTCAAAATTTGATTGCTGGCAATTAACTCTTGAATTGATATTAAATCTGGCAACCTATGGTTTTAATCAGTTCTATAATCCTGCAAGTTTCTTAAATATTCACCACTTATAATATTTATATGTGTGGATATTTGGTGCAATCAACGAAAACTGACATGTAAAAGGGTAAGGATTTGAAATTGTATATATTTGAATTTACTACAAATGTGGATATTATATGAAAATTCAAAAAATATAAATACATGTAATATACCATACCAGTTGATATTAATGGTCTTTATATCTGTTTTTATTGCATGAAATGTGTACATATATCTTAAATTATTTATTTCTTGTTTCTAAAATGTGATGGATGTCTGTGGGACAACTGGTTTGTATAAAAAAAGCATTCTCAATTTAATAGTCCCACATTTCATATAGGAGTGTATTGTCATCACCTCTATCTGTTGGTCTATCTACAATATTCTTAAACACTGTGTACGGGTTAAAGATTTGAGATTTGTTTTTAAAGTTTGCTGGACTTGTTTGTTTAGCCTTAAAGGAGCTAAACCTCTAAAACTCAATATTTTACATAAAATTCGAAATTAAAAAAACAAATTATAATTCAATATTGGTCTATTTCAATCAATATTGATCTTATCTTAAAAATTTAGAATCCTAATAACCAATATTTAAAACATAATGAACATTTTAAAATCAGTTCACTAGTCATATATTTCAATGGTTTCCGGCGCCATTTGTAATAAACAAATAAAAACATATCTCACAAGAGAATGTAGATGTAATTAGTAATGGCTAAGTCACAAACAACAAAATAATAATAATAAAAAAAACGTGTAGAATGAACTAGGCAGGTGTAATTCACTATTTCACCTAACATAATTAATTGATTAGAAATTACAATCATTTTTTAAAAATTGAATATAAATCACTTAAAGATACATTATGTGAGATTTAGATCCAGAGCTGGCTGTTCTTGCTGTAATAGTTCAAAAATTAATAATGCAAAATGAATATATTGAAAATTTTATTCAAATTACTTTTTTCAAAGTTTAGTCTCGCTTCACCATTTTTAGATTAAATCATTAAATGGCTGAGCCGTTCTAATCTACTTAAATTGGATCTATCCAATGGCAGACTTGATTATGGTCTTGTCATTTTTTAAATAAATATCTTTTAATAATTAATAGTTTATGTATCATTTAAGGCCTAAAGAAACACCTGCAATAGGCAGATTTCGCTCTTGCATAATGCCTGTTTAATATATTCTTTTAGATTTTCTCTGGTTCCAAAGAACCGCCACATACACACCCTTTATGCTTGGCCTGTTTACGACATTTTGTAACCACTGTCAGATCCTACATAAATTTACACTTGTTAATCAATTTTATGTGTCTTTATTGACCCTTAAAACTTGAAATCAATCCTTTAAAATTCAGCCGATGTATTATATTTGTTGCATGTTAATGCTTTGTTGAGCTCGTCAAACAAATCATATCTTGAACTGTGTCATTGTAAACAACAATTATCTCCTCTTCTCCTGTGCCAACTATTTGTCTCTGTAACACATAATTTAAACGAAGATGATGGCATGAAAGCCACAAAATCTAACTTAAGCCTCACGTACGTAACTAAACTAACGTATGGGTCTGTCGTTCAGATTGAAGGTCACATGGCCGCTGACAACTTTTGTTAACTCAATTTTACAGTCGGGAATCAATAGTAAAATATCATAAAGGTCACAAAATTTAGGCAGTGCCCCATTTAAAGTAAAATTGATTGATTTAGATAATGTTTTCATCATCAAATTATATAGACGCATGGCCGCAAGATTGTGCGTTTTATACGCCTTAAACATGTTTATATGTCGGTTCTTTTGGTCAGAATTGATTTTTATATCTGGAATGTTGAGTAAACTAAATTCGATTGGAGTTATTAACAATACTGTGGAGTCTTAATTTAAAGGTTTTTCCAGGTGAATAGCATCTCACATGGAACATGGAAAATCTCTTTCAATATTAAGCTGTGACCAAGTACTGATAATAAGAATCATGTTATAACGAGTTATTTGCCCCTGAATCGGATTCAGCCCAGTTATTTTATAACTTCGCCGCTTAGTCACAGCTTAATATTGAAAGAGCTTTCCCACGTTACGGATGCCTGAGAATAGTATATGTGTGTATATTATAGGTTTATGCTCAATTTTTACATAGGAAATTGATTTATTGAAATAAAGTTTGCACTTAATATATTTGACTTGTTAATATAAGACCAACCATATGTCACAACAGTCTTATATAGTATTTTCACCTCCAATGTCTTGAATATTTACCCGGCCTTTTTATGATTAGATTAGAATTATTACACCCAGTTTTGTTCCGAATTTAAAACGGTTGGAATGTTATTGAAAATGTTCACACATACTCCATTCAAAATAAACCAAGCATGGTGTTATCATCCCTAGATAGATGCATCCCCCAGAAGGTTTTAAGTACGTACTTGTGACTGTATTGAACAAATTAGAAATATTGATACAAGGAAAGTTTAGTGCATTTTGTGAAGGATAAATGCCAAGCTTTTTGATAAATTTATAGTTTAAAGATGTGTTATTTGTGGAATCTGCATGAAAATTACTAAAATTGAAAGTTAACATTCACATGATAATTCTTAAAATTGAAGGCAGTCGGAATCCATGTGGGGTTGGTCAAATACCATGCCATGAGAAGTACCTGAATAATCATGTCAAAATGCTTACTGAAATTATAGCGGTAGCAGCTGATTAGTAAAATCCCTTAAGTCATTTATTTACCGCGTTCTGTCAAACACAGTGAGCATTTCTAAGTAGCTCAGTATTTTACTTTGAAACTAACAAACCGGTATTCCAGTAAACTTTGGTGTTGGGTTTGCTTTCTACGGCCGACTCTTATTTCGAATTCCATCTGTCAAGGGTTATTGACAATGTATACACGATCCTCGGGTTTTCGTCCCATCCGAAAGACTATACGTTGTTCCTCGCTAGGCCCTTCGTACTGCATCAGTGACAAGGGGCAATCAAGCCGGAAAAATTTGATGAACTTTCTCGACCAACACCGGGATCGAACACAGGACTTCTAGGTTAGCGAGCCAATTTCTTACAGACACCGTGGCTCTCAAAATAATATCTGCTCTAAGTAAGAACAACTTAAAATTATGTGGTTTGGCCTTAGAAGTTTGGAGACAAGCCACTCGCATATCTTTTATTATTTGAACGAGTGCCGCGGTGGTTCAGTGAGTAAAGCACTGGCTAACTAACCAGGGGATCCGGTGCTCGATCCCTTTGTTGGCTGAGAAAGTTCCCCGGAAGTGCATGGTATCCGCTTGACGTTTGTGTGGGACGGAGGACCTGACAACGACAGTGCCTAATCCTTCGGGTAGGACGAAAACTGAGGTACCTTGTACAAGCTGGGGATGCACGTAAAAGATTCATTGATAGTTGGAATTCGAAATAAAAGTGCGCCGCTGTCCGCGAAAACTTTCCTCTTAGCACACTGTAAAGCGTGTGTCCGTCTTTTTTCACCCAGTCGGAGCAGAAAAGTAGGACGTTAAACCCGGTTCATTTCACATAATTGAACACTGCTCTGACAAACGATAAACTTGTGTTTCAAATGCACGTGTAATAAATTTGACACGTGACATAAATGCGTGAGGGACAATTCAGTGAGTTGTGTTTACTTTAGAGGAAAAGGGAAGCTGGAAGGTGGTGATCTCTAACAACTGGAGGAAATAAGGACTGATCAGCATCACAATGTCAACACAACTAGGTATATACTTATTTTGTATGCTTTCATGTTCAAAACAAAAGGCAAAACAAATAGTGGCCACAAAGGATGTTATTGTTTTTATAAACAACACCTGATTCATGAAGGGGAATGGCCAGCTAATCCACAATAGCCTGAAAACATTTTGTTTAGTTTTGGTAATACCATTGATTAGCCATTAGGTGCGTGTTTATGGCATCAAGGGAAGGATTAGTCCGGGAATACCACACAGAAGTTTCTCAAGTTCCGAATTTACAAGTGCAGCTCAACCTGCCGACAAAAAGGTCCTCTACAATATATGACAAGAACACATTTAACCTATACATCTAAAAAGTGCCCTCCACCCCACCCCCAACACACATACACCTATACATTATGTACATACAGCAAGAATATTAATTTCAGCCTAATACATTTAAGTTCTGTTTCATTTCGAAAGAAATTTATGATTCTCTATTGAATTTCATATATTAAGGGTCACCCTCGCCTCTATAGTATAATGTTTATAGTTTTAGGTAATGAGAACGGTATAAGAATGGATACAGACTGTATAACTATCGATGATTGTAAAATATATCATAAATCAGATGATATCAATATGTCCTCTACCAGCTGGACACACCAATATATGTAAGTGAAGAATATTAATTATATTGTAAATTGTATTTATCTCCCTTCTTATACAGGCCCGGCGGAATAATTTGGCCTCAAGTACTTCTTTCTCCAGGTTATTGCACGCAAGTAATTCTGCGGTTAGATACAAAGCCTGATTTTAACATGGACGTGATACTTTTAGAACGTAGACTTTTAGAAGAAAACGATGCTATTCTCTATACTGATCCCTGGGTTGAGATACCCCCAGTTGCGAGGGTCACGATTATTTAACGGAACAGTCGATCTTTATTTCAAGCCCATCTCATTTCGGTTGTATCTTTGGCAGATTAGGTAATTGAATAATTCCCTGCTATCGGTTATGACCAGTTGAAATAAGCGGTTGCCATGCAAGGTACGCTCACATTTTGCAAGAAATGTATGGTGAAGAGAGGTAAAATCTTTGGATCCTTAACATATTTAAGTTTCCTCAGAATGGGACAACAATAATTGTAGCCCCTCTGTTATATACGCCAAAATTTGACCACGGCGGTATTTACAGATTTATGGAGGATAAGTCCCATTTTTGGTGAGACAGAAGTGACGTGAACAATAAATTATGGACTGCATTTTTGATTTCAATCATTACAACATCAATTAACGATTTAACGCATTCGGGGTTTCTATTATCTTGCCACCATTGTGATGTTTTATTTATATTTTTATGTTCCAGGCGTGATTATATAAAGAAGGGAAGTTCGTATCTAGAACAGATGAATAATAAACAGGTACATAATCCTACCCTACAAATATATATTAACGTGATCAAAAAAACATTCAACAACGTAATTATATTCCTTGAGTTGGGGTAAAGCAGCCCAACATGCCATTTCAAGACTTCCGTAGGTTTAACGTCCTACTTTTCTGCACCAACTGGGCTATTGATGACGGGTAAAAAACGAAAATAAGTATGTTATGAGGGAAATTATGCCTGGGTAGCAGTTGAATTCCAACTGTCAATGGATTTTTTACGTACGCTAACGTGTACAAAGGACCTCCGTTTTTCGTTCCTTCTCCGGCCCCTCCGTTCTACATACTGACATGGGGAAACATTGGAAAACCCGAGGAACCTCCTGGTTAGTGAGCTGTCGCCTAATCGCCGAGCCACGGTGGCGCCCCATTTCGAAACTTGTATTAAAGGACAATATTGGTGTCAGCCATTATCAGGTTAAACACGTTCCAAATATAATTTATCACAGAGATTATTGCTACGATAGATGCGTAACGAAGATTTGAAGAGACGAAAGCAAAAGGAAAACACGAGTTATCCTTCTATATTACTGACTATATAACAGATACGCGGGCGATTTTCTGCTTACTGATAATTTCTTGGAAGATCAAAAGATGTTATATATAAGATTATAGTTTATTATCATAGGATAAAATGTTCATATTATATAAGACTAGTTTATTGTGGTATAGGATAAAATGATGCTTTTGTTAAATGGACTGGTGAAAGATGTCAGATATTTAAAGAAAACTTCACCGCCAGCTGAAACTAAACTTGGTCTCACAGGTATGTTAAATTCATCTCTACTTGTAAAGGTAGATCTAGTATGTTTGTGGCGCAATATGTGATATTTACTGTTTCCATTTACCAATTTTGGATTCATTGTAGCCATCTTTAAGATAATAATATTTCTAGAAAGGACGTTACCCACATTTACCGAGGGTCAAGATTCGGTTGTTACAAATTTGCGCCTAGTCCTCGCTTACAGTCCCACCAATTCGCAAGTTTTGCACTCGTCTCTTCCGCCAATGACCTCTTAATCCACTTGCTCCAGACTAGTATCAGCTTTACAGTCCTACAGTTGACGTTAACGTCTATGCTGATATTCTGGTATATTGATTTGTTACAGATTGGAAGCCAAGCTCCGGGGCCGATTGTGAAATGATATCAAAAAAAGAGGAAGAAGATGAACTACCCGCAGTGTCGGACATATTACAAGTTTTAAAACTGACAGATGCTGTTGGTTGTGATGCTTCAAAATTTCTGGGTATGTTCTGTATTACTTGGACGGCAACGGCCCGTCGGTATTCTTCCCTCAAAACCTATATATTTGAATTGAATTTACTATGGGGGTTTGAGGCTACAGCCCAGGACCTCCGCCTTCTTGTGGCTCTCCAGAGCTTACGTGAAAAAGAATTTCATTTGTGAATGATAAATCAGTCTTAAATACTAAATTATCTGATGTAAAAAAAACAATTAGATTTGTAACAGGGGCTGTCCATGGATACACTTTTGGTATTTATGCGGATGCGTTTTCCACATTCAGGATATTTGCTTCAATCCAGCCCATACCTGGATATGTCCCTACTGGTCGTTCTTACCACCAGGCTTTTACAAACAAATCGAGATTTGATAATAGTTGGTTTAGCGGGAAAATTCAGATATGACAAATTTATGCTGCCTATTGAACTAATGCAGCTATCGCCCACCGGTTTGTGACTTTAGCTCCATGCACATACTGGAATTTTGCTAAAGAATAAACTCTTTTCAAAATATTAATTTGACAGTAATATTTTGTTTCCAGATTCTACCGATAAACTATTGATAGATTTAGGAGGAAAGATAAACTATGATATATTTGGTAGTGATGTAAACCATTATAAATATCTCGAGACCAGTGATGTATTAACTGATGAAGAGAAGATGAAGAAAATAAAGGCATTATTAGATGAAAAGTGCAATAACAGACTGATAATATCACACCATATGGTAAGATAATAATTATATAAAAACATTAAATTCAGTCTCTTAACCATGTAGTTCACAAGAAAGGTTTGTTTTAAAGGACAATATTCTAGAATAATAGGAACATATAGACCATACAGAATACAAAGTCATGGCAAAAACCATGTTGTTCCAAAAACGTATGGGGGTTGGATGGCCGAATTGTTAACACGTGTGCGCTGTATCATAAAATCTGTCATTGAGTCAGCTGGCGTGGTTTCGATTCCCCGGTTGTACGTGACAAGGGTAGGATCGCCTGTCCAAGCTCGTGGGTTTTCTCTGGGTGCCCCAGTTTCCTCCCACTGCTAAAGAACCCTACGCGCAAGCGAATTATTAAAATAAAATTAAACCATACGTTAGTCACGAAATGACTTAGTTTGTGTCGAGTGGACGTTAAACCCTATTTCTCCCTCTCTCCTCTCTCTCTCCTCTCTCTCTCTCTCTCTCTCTAGAATAATAGGAACATATAGAAAGAACATACTGAATACAAAGTCATGGCAAAACCATGTTCCAAAATAGTATGGGGGGTTGGATGGCTGTATCATAAGGTCTGTCATTGATAGGGTGACCCATGCACCTACAGAAATACAGTCAACCGCTGATAGTTCGAGACTACCACTGAAGCGTGCACATTCGCCGTGTCGAGTCCAACTTTCTGACAGTATGATACTATAAATAGCCATGGCACGTGCAATTCTCTACAAATCTATCAACTATTACAGCCGTAAAAAATTTATTGTTGACGATTTTGAATAGCAGTAAAATTAAGCTTCTTGGTTATTACAGCAGATTTAGAAATTACGTTCGTTTCATTTTTTAAATTGCTTTATCATTAACTGTACCGTTAAGAGCGGCATCTTTTGGTTTAGTACAAATAATATCTCTGAAGCACTCGGGTTAGACAGGAACATGATACTAGCAGTAGTTTCATTTTACTTTTACAAGCTTCTTAAAACAATTGTTTAGCTAGCTAACGTGCTCATTTCTAAATTCAATTTCTTGTTCTAGCTTTCTGTTATGTTTCGTAAATAAGTAGTCTTGATTATCCCGACCTGTCAATCAGCCCTAGAATGGTCGATAGACTGGTTAGGCGAGACAAGGGCACGTACCCTATCTTTTACTCAAGAGTGTCTGGATGTTATGGACGACACATGGAACCAGTTTTCAGTCTATTATTTATAGATGATTAATGATCATAGCTTATTAAGTACAACATGATCGTTTATTTAGTGACTATAATTGTGTGAAACTGATTTGAGGCTTGGCATATATATAAATATTGTGGCGAAATTGTCGAGATATATGGAGATATTTATTTATGGTGGGTCACCCTATCATTGAGTCAGCTGACGTGGTTTCGATTCCCCGGTTGTACGTGACAAGGAGTTGCGTAGCCTCTCCAACCTCGTGGATTTTCCCCGGGTCCTCCCGTATCCTCCCATTAGTCCATGTGGCAGACCTCTGATTTCGGAGTATCATTACCAATTTGATGAATAAATTCAACCATGATTTTCAGTTAGTCTGGTGCCCGAAGTGTTCAAATTTGGTTGATGGACTTCCGGGTCACTTTGCTAAATGCCATTTTGGCGGCCATCTTTAAAAATGGCCGCCGTTTTTTCATTGAAATTGAGCGCGTCAAGGAAACCTTCATAACTCTTTCACAGATTGACCTATTGATATGGAATATGGCTCAAAATGTTCGCAATAACATTCTACAGCTGCTGTTATATGACACATGTTGGTGAATGAATCATATATTTTCCAAATCAACAGATTATTCTGAAAAAAGCAACGTTTTGGCATTTTTTTTCAAGATTTATTTTAAAAGTTTACTACCAAATCATGTTCAGGGTAAATTTAGCCAAATTTTGTGTCTGGTCTTCTTAAGTTATTCATTTGGCATAAATAAATACGGTCAGTGACCCAGTCTGTACAGCTGCGGTGGCCGCAAACTCAACAAAAGTCTTGAGTAGACTGTCAATTTTAAAATGTTGAGCCTCGACGAGGTAGGGTACTAACCATGTGAACGTTTATTTAGGGTTGTCGCAATCACACCGATATTTGGGGACCGGTTGTTTCTGAAGAAAAATTTGTCACTGAAGACGATTTTGATAGTGTCACTTCTGTGACGTCATTTTCGGTTGAATCTGTCTGATTTCCAAAATGGTCGCCAAAATTTGACAAAAAATGAATTTCTTGTTAGGATGGATGAGTATCACGCAAGGTAAAACTTGTGACATATCATATATAGGGTTTCCGTAGTCATTGTACTTACAATTGATCTATAAAATTAGTTTTCCAAAATCCAAGATGGCGAAAATTCAAAATGGCAGTCAAAATTTGCCTAAAATGATCGATGCCTCGGATAATCGTCATTTTACAGTTTGATATGCCCTGTAATGCCGCTTAAGGGGTTTTCGATGTCACAAAACTTAAATACAGCATCTAAAAAAAGGATTTCCAAAATCCAAGATGGCTAAAATCCAAGAGTGCGGCAAGATTTTCCCTAAAATGAATGATTTTTCAGATAATCGTCATTTTTCTGTTTTGTACGGCTTGTAATATGCCATTTATGGGGTTTTCAGGATCACTAAACTTAAATATTACCTCAAAAAAAGATTTTGGATATCGTAGATTATTGCTTAAGAACAAAACGGGACAAGTGTCAGTCTTTCTCTTGGCTTGGCTTATTATAAAAATGTGTAGTAGTTTTTTAGGGGAGAATGGAATTAATTATACCAGATCTCGTAAATCAGAAAACAAGATTTAATAATATTCCAGCAAAACTGTAAGGAATTTTAATATATCTTTGCAAATATATCTAGTTGTTAAGAATTTATCTATTCTGTTTGTTCAGAAATTGGCCGAAATAGTGGCTCAGTGGGTAAGGCTCAACGAGGTCCGGAATTCGATCCCTGTGTCTGGACAAATTTTACCTCATTTCAGACTGTATGACGAATAGCCATCTTCATTGACCAAGTTAGAACAGTAGGACGTTAACCCACATTGCTTTTCATTTCTGGTCCACAAATGGTAATATGATAGATTTTTACTTTGAAGAGTCTGGCAACCTTTTGTGGTATCATCTAGAATCTAGCCAGATGGTATCATGGATTCATATTTGTCAATTGTGAAAGTGTAAAGTGTAAAATGTATTTCACAACAAGTTCTAAGTTTAAAAATGATAATTACAGAGATAATTTGAAATACATTTACCCAAAAGCATGGCTCACGATTTCCTCTTTGTTAATGTCACAACCATCCACCTCATTGGAATTACTGTGACAATCGCAACTACTGTTTTTCTTCAGCAATGGACACTAGCCAAAGTACAAGAAGAAACAGGAGATCTCGGCAGCGACAATGATGATATCCTTTTAATATCATAGGCCTGCCTAAAGCGAAAGAAGAAATTGGTCGACATTACTTTTGTGATGCCTAGTCGTTAATGCATTTCAAATTATCTTCGCAACGATTCTTTTTAAACTTTCAACTTGTTGTGAAATGGATCTGTGGATACGTTATCTAGACTATACCAAAAAAGTTGCCAGGCATAGAGTCTTTGATGAAAAACCGGTTCGGTTGTACCATATAACGAAAAAATGCGAAAAGTACCGAGATAAAAATCTGAAAAGTACCGAAAAATGCAGACAAAATACCGAAAAAACTTTTTTGATACTAATTACCGAAAAAATCCGAAAAACCCCAAATATCGAAAAATCAATAAATAACGAAAAAAACGACACTAATTACCGAAAAAACCCTAAGCCACACACAAAAATTGCTAGGTGGGTCAGACTAGACCATGCATAAAAATTGTTGGGAACTGTAGGTTACGCATTAAAATTGTTGACACTCTAGCTAGGTGGGTAATGGGTCAAGCAAGATCAGGCATAAATATAGTGGTACACTTTCAGTCAGGGGCGGATTGGGGCCGGGAACCGGTCCGGGGTCCCTTGTCGGAGCTACCCCTTTTAATGAACCCCAAATATGCGATTTGGTGGCATATCTGATTATAATCTATGTGAAATAATAAATCTCATAAATCGATTAATTTAGGCCAAAACCCCGACCTACAAGTAATTTACAACCATCAACCTGTGAAATTATCATATCGTCATATTATTAATTAACATATTATCATTGTATCGTCAAGAGTCAAGAGAATTTAACTGGTTTAAAAATGGGACTAGTTGAGAAAATTTTGACCATTTGATTAACCAGTTAGGAATATTGAATAAGTAGGAATATTTTCATTGTAAAATGTCCCATTTTCGTTGCCGGGAGCGCTAGTTGATTCCTCCTGTGATGGAATTCGGAATCCCCATTGCAGGATTCCGAATTCCGGCCCACACCCAGCACACCCGGCCCAGAAAGTCTATTATACCAGCCCATTCCAGACTCCAGTGATGGCCCGTTAAAGACACCGGCCACATCATCGTAGTTCCATGGCCGGTCCAATACCCCCACCACCATATAATGTTCAGCAGAAAAAGGTTTTTAGACGAATTGGACAAAATTATTTGCTATCAGTTGGCCATTGATCACAATATGTCCCGCATAAGACTAGTTGGGCATTGTAGGTGGGTCATGGGGTCAGGCATTTAGTAATTGAAGCATAATCAAATAACACACTATTTATGGATAACAAATTCTATAGTTTAATTCACTGCGACGTTTCAACAAGATTTCACAAGTCCTTACCAAGCATATAACATTAATAAACAAGCCAACAGTGAGGCTGATGACCCCGTCGAAATCCCTAAATAAATAGATGACCCATATTAAAATAATCGCACATTTATTTTTTTCAAAAGTATCGAGCAATCAAACTGATTATCAACTATACACTAAGTTTCATCACTCTCTATCAGATAGAATCAAAGTTATCTTGTCCCAAAGCATCGATCATTGAAATTGCTTAGCTCTGCTTAGCTTTAGCCCGAAATGTTAATTACTGAACTGAGACAAGACATTCAGCTAATGAACATTTACATCAAGTTTCAGCATTCTACCTTAATTAAAAGCATAATTATTGCGTTCCAAAGTCCTGACCAATCAAATTGCTTATCGCTCTTTAGCCTAAGCAGAAAATTCTCACGATCGAACTTAGTCAAGCTAATATCGCCCTCACTTCATTATAACCAAAGTTATCATGCCCCAAAGCATCAATCAATCAGATAGCTTATCTCTGCTTACCCTAAACAGACAATGTTCATCATCGAACTCCATCAAGGCATTCATTTAATGAACGCCTACACCCAGTTTGAACATTCTACCTCAATTAGAATGAGAGTTATTGTGTTCTAAAGTCTCGGCCAATCAAATTGCTTATCGTTCTGCTTACCCTAAGCAGAAAACTCTCATTATCGAACTTAGTCAAGGTATTGATGAAATGAAACTATACACCAAGTTTTATCACTCTCACTTAATTAGAACTAAAGTACTATCGTGTCCCAAAGCATCAACCAATCAAATTGCTTATCTCTGCTTACCCTAAGCAAAAAATTCTCATCTCCGTACTCCATCAAGGCATTTACCTAATAAACACCTACACCAAGTTTGAACATTCTTGCTCAATTAGAAAGAGACTTATTGTGTCCCAAAAAGTGTGACGGACGGACAGAAGAACCCATTTTAATAGTCATCTGCTTTCTTCGAAAGGCGGGGGACAATAAAATGAAAAGAATATGGCTATATATATACAAGAGCGGTGCTGACCCCCCAAAGGGATGCAAAGTCAGCTAGTATGGGCATTGTAGTGTCCCAAGCCGTTAGATAATCAAATGCACATATACAGGTATAAACTGTAATTGGTATAGATAAGCACAAGAACAAAAGATCAAACAATTATTCAAGCGGTATAATGAACCACGAGCAATAGGCCATAACAGTAAAAACATGATAACGACATGTAAAATCTTGTTGAAACGTCACAGTGAAATAAACTATAGTAATTGTTATCCACAAATAGTGTGTTATTTGCTTAAAAAGACATATTACAAGCTACATTAAACAGAAAATCGATCATTTTACGGAAATTCTGGCCGCCATTATGAATATTCACCATCTTGGATTTTTTTAAACACTCCGTGTCTTGGTTAATTTTAAGGTCAGTAATCCCTTTCAATTGGATATTACATGTAATATCAAACTGTGAAATAACTTTTATCTGACAAATTGGCCATTTGAGCAACTTTTGGCCGCCATTTTGAATTTATGCCATCTTGGATTTTGGACACTCATATTAGAGATTATTTTTTTATGATTAATGTTTCTGATATCTAGTAAATCACTTTAGTTGACCAAATAGATAATTTGGCTTATATGGGTCTGAACAAGATTTTTTTTAGTAAACTTATGAACAGACATCATGAAAAAAAACCCGAAAATATTGCTGTTTTCAGATTAGTCTTTTATTTTGAAACCGAAAGCATTTCTTAAACAACATGAGTCATATACCAGCAGATTTAGAATTGTATTATGAACATTTTGAGCCATTTTACATATCCATAGGTGAACCTGGTGAGGAGTTGTGGAGGTTTCCCTGACTTGCACTATTTCAAATAAAAAAATGGCGGCCATTTTTAAAGATGGCCGCCAAACTCACATTTGGCAAAGTGACCCGGATGTCCATCAACCAATTTTGGACACTTTAGACCTAAGGCTAACTGAAAATCATGGTTAAATTTATTCATCAAATTGGTAATGAAAATCTGTCTGTCACATGAACTACATTGCTAAAGATCCCTACGCGCAAGCTAATTATTGAAATAAGATTGACCCATATGTTAGTCCCGAAATGACCTACTTTGTGTCGAGTGGACGTAAAAAACCCCATGTCAGTCCCGAAATGATCAAGTTTGTGTCGCGTGGACGTTCATCTCTCTCTCTCTCTCTCTATCTATCTCTCTCTCTCTCTCTCTCTCTCTCAAACACTGAAGTCAAGATGGTATTTTTGTTAAATCGTCAAAATTGTATTGTAGACTAATTATGACATTTGCCACATTGCGTTATTGCAGAGATACTAGCTTTGTTAGTTTAGGTTATGCTCATAAGAAATAAGTTTATTTAGGCAAAACTTTTAAAACGTATAGTTTGCTGTGTATAGAAATCATACGTGGTATCTATGTTGGACTTCTATTCTTGTTTGAGATACTTTAGTAGGACCAGAAACAGTTGATATTTTCTGTTACGTATTCAGTATTCCGTGAAAGCCTCCAGTACCGCTTGTAGTTCATGGTTTCTTTTCTTATCTTTCTTTTCAGGACATGCCCACATCACCAGTGAAACGGTTTTCGCCAGTCTTGTTGGATATCAATACTCGGGTGTCCAGACCAACATTCGTTGAAAATCCCCTGCATAAAGTTGTTCTGGATAATCCAAAAACCTGGCTTACATTTGCCAACTAAATGGAATTAAAATTATTATATTTGCGTGAAATTGTAACTAAGTTAACCATATCTAATGTCAGTCAGTGCTGCTATTATTTTTGTGTTTCATTAAAAAAAATATTTTTACATCACGAAAAGTATAACTTTTTAAAACAGATGTGAAATGGGGTAATGTCTTACTTTTCAGCATCAACCCAGAGATTTAACGCATAATGCATTCTATTTCATCTTAGTCAGGTGCGACAAAATTTTAATCCATTCCAAATTTTATTCCGAAATGAAATGGGGTTTGTTAGCGTCCTACTTTTCTGCTCCAACTGGGTTAATGAAGACGGGCATACACCATGCAGTGTGCTATATTGCCTGGACAGCGACCCAACGGCCAACTCTTATTTCACATTCCAGAGGTTTTACCTTGTCCCTTGTCACGCCCTCCGCCCTGCACGCCAGACAGGGGGTGGGTGGGGGGAGGGGTACGCCGGAAAATCCCGATGAACACGGAACCTCTAGGAAAACGAGGCAAAGTCTTACCGAGACGCAATGATTACGTGCCAGGATAATCGTAAATATACAATCATTTCTTGCAATGTTGAATTATGAATGTGTATGGAACATGTTATCATGCGAGAATGATGTTTTCGCGGTCGCGTAAACTAACCGCCGGTCATTTCTATAAGACACAAATGATAATGTTGAACATTGAGATTGTATGGTGCTGACATGGAGAATAAAATGACAATTGTGACTTTCCAAAAGCTAGCAACAAAACTCCTACAGTTCTGTGGAAGAAGCAACGATATGCCATGTCTGACACCTGAACATCGATTGAGTACAAAATCCGTAGCCCGAAGGTTTGGATTCCACCAAGCCACCTTCATTCAGGTCGATCGTTTCAAGAAGATAAGGTCTGCTAGTGAACGCCGAGAAAGTTCATCGGGATTTTCCGACGTGGTTTCCCCATGTCAGTGGTGCTTGACATCTGAACGACTAGACAGCTGTCCTTTTCAGGCCCTCCGTCCTGCACCACTGACAAGGAGAAAACGCTAGCTTCGAGAATGTCGTTTCTTAAATAAGGTTAAATATCGCGATGGGCCGAATCTGAATTCTAACCACCAATAACCCACCGATAGCGATTACAGTTTCAGATCGCGAAATATTGGTCAACACAAGGCATATATACAACCGGCATATGTTCATGTTTTTATTCCTAGAAGCACAAGTTATAAGAAATAATACAATGAATTGTAAACATCGGAAATTGCATAATTGTAAATATATCAATATTTAATTCAACATGGCCCCAAATATATCTAGGACCCGTGTACAATAAGTACCTACAGATGAAATGAAAAGTAGTTCTCGGCACAGTATACCGAACTTCTTACATCTGTGGGTCGCCTTTTATATTAAGGAATTGGAATCGTATTTCTCAATGAATCTGGATTAATATTAATATGTGACAAATATTCGGATTCGCCATAATTAAACAATGACCATTACTTTCCGAAATAAGTTTATCAAAATAAATGGATGTGGATTTGGTATTCGTTAAACCATGTTCCTAATTTCACTCAGCAGACTCCCGTACCCTACATCTAGCCTCGGTTGTATGACGGTAAGGGATATGTCGCTACACCAATACAATTGTGATGCGGCTACCGGTATCAGGAAAACTTGCCGCTTTTAGAAAGAAGTTCGAAGAGTGTATGGAATTTTCATTGCAAAGCTTTCCTTTTATTAAATGAAATCGGATAAACTTGAAAGTACATAACAAACAATATATAATTTCGAGAGAGAAAACACTCTTCACAGGCGCCTTCATGGGCGCCGCCATTTGTAATCTGGGAACTTGAAAGTAGTTCAATGGCGGAATTTGTTATACAGCCGAGGTTACATGTAGGGCACCGGAGTCTGCCGACGTTTGCCGAGCGTTCCCAATTTCTGCTCGGTACTAAAAAGGGGAAGTAATCTTTGTAGGAAGGTAACCGTGAAATCGACGATAAAAATGGTTGTAGTCGCTGATGAAAAACAATATTATTGCACCCGTCGATTCAAAGGAATTTAGTTATTGCCATGTTTAGAATCTTTATTGTATTACGAAGGTATTTTTTATTGCTTGTGTAACCATGGGGTCCTTTTTCATCCAAAAATGAAATGACCGGAACTGTCTAAAGGTCAACAATAAACCAGGAACAAAGATATAAATTCTAGAATCGGAATAACAACTCTATATTAGGTTTCGTTGCTTTCAGACACATCCCACGTATGGAATACAACTCCTCCGCAATCATCATTGTTATAGGCCCAATGCCGGACAAGTTTAATAAGCCAACAATTCAATTATAATAAGTATAGTGTTGGTGAGAACCCAATCGTCAACCTTCAAAATAGCCACCAGGTTAGACATTTTGTTTTAACCATGTTTGATTATTAATGATTTAATGCACTGTACATTACCAACCCGGATCTTAATAAACATTAATTTGAAATATCGATTTTTCATTGTGACGTTTAAAACCGTTGCGTAACGCATGGCTGGACTGAAAATAATTTGCTTATAATTGAAACATGGATAGTAGAGTTAACGATTAAACATGAATATCATTTCAACACCATATTTTTTATATCCAAAATCTATTAGTGGATGATATTACTGTGCATGGAAAGCGGATGCTCGCGACAAATAAATCTCGCTATAAAGCTATTTCACTCTTCTCGACTTACTATCTGAAAATTGATTCGCTTGACCTCCATTAACCTATTCCACATATTATGACAAGATGTCATTGCGAAAAGAAATTTGGCAAGATTATAGTATAAGAATTCAATGAAAACATTCTAGCTCTCAAAAGAAAAAACATTACACTGTTTTAAGTGCGGAAGGAAAACATCCAAATGGTGCTCGGTACAATATGTAGTTAAAGCAGATTTAGTAACTAGAAGAAATGGCAAATTTGAAGACAAAAATTCATAATAAATTTGAAAAATATTATCGAAATATTCAAGCAACCATAAATATTTAAAGATATAATAAAAAGCTTATAACTGCTCAGCATCAACGTCAATTCCCACTCTTAACCCATTCCTCTTGTTCGAGTTCCGTCCAAGATAAGCAAACATTCCACAAACTTTTATAACCACATTGACCTTCATTCGATGTTGAAATTTTGAAAAGCGCCTTTCTCATGCCCGCAAAATCACACCTTTACATTGAGATATAACCCACCATTAAAATCTCCATCCACTGATCAAACAACGCCATATTATGTCATGCGTCGCACACTTCCTGTCAGGACGTTACCATTAGCGCCAGTATCCATAACGTCGTCATAGAGATGCTTGGAGTCGTTGCTAGGTTACAGCCATGTTCTCCACAGAAACACAGGTGCCCTTTGTGTGATCCGCGTTCTTTCATACAAACTAAGTTTATATGCATTTTCATCTGCATGTGCTTTGAACATGTTCTTGTATATCTTAACTCGCCTGAAAAATAAAACGCAGTTAATGGATAATTAGCCCACCAATACGATAGATTTAATGTTTCAATGAGTTTAGGCTTACTGTAAACACATCCCCAGGGTTTGGAATTTTTGTATTTAAGAGAAAGAATATAAATAAATGTCAATATTTATACTGCAGTGGGTCATACTTTATTCTTCAAATCACAACCCTTAGTAATAGACAGCTTACACCCAACTGGACTTTTCGGAAAAAGTAGCCGTGAAACAACAAGTATATTGGGGTCCTGGCTTTTGGGCGTAAAACAATTATATATGAGATAAGAAATGTTGCTGGGGCCTATTCGGGAATTTAAAAAAGGAGAAGGTGGGGAGACAACGTCAAGTTTGTCGTAAGATCCGATGAATTACCCGAGAATGTTATAAAATCACAAGCTCTGAGAATATTTCTGACTTTTTAGGTGCATACATAATTAGAGTGGACTGGGGGCTAACGGCGGCAATGCTTCGCACGTTTGTTTGTTCGACGTTATTTCCATGGATGTAGGAACAATAAAATACGGTCTGCGCGAGGTTTCCCCCGGGACATGCGCCTGCATTCACAAAATTAATAGAAAATGGCAGCTGCGGTAGTATATACGACCACCTGAAGGTTTGTGAAATGGTAACAGTGAAATAATGACTAGTTTCGGGTGAGAACTTTTCACTCATTTAGGATCCATTAGATATGAAATGAAATGAAATTTACGGAGGTTGTCATTCAATTATTTTTTTTTTTTTTACTGATTTCTGCAGTTACCTCCCACCCCACCCTCCCCGCGCCTCATACGCACTGGTCAACAAAAAATGTGGGCGTAAAAAATGGTGTACATGCGTAGTTTCATATTTGTTCTTTTGTAATACGTTCATCGTTAATGGTTGTTTAAAGTCGGGTTAATATGTCTGATTAATTTCACCTTGAAGTAATATTCTGATCGCCACTGGGTCATTAGGTCTGACATTAAGCTATTCTTGTAGACTAATGCGCGTCTCTGGTAATATACCATTAAAAATCAATATATTGTAAGGCCTACTAAAGCAGAGAAGATGTCGAGGTAATAAACATAGGATAATGCCGTCTACCTGTTGTATTAACGCGTAAGTTAATAAAAATGGCTAATTCATACAGATTTAATGTAACGATTTTAACCCACAAACATTCTATGGGCCATGGAATCATTCAGAAGCAAGAACATTGGTCATGACTCTAATGCTATAACACAGACTACAAGGAATGGCTCTTTGCTAATACATATTATAAGACAATGTAATCCCAGATTACACCAAAATAAATAAGACGTATACCAGTCTTCTGCTGAAGAAACACAAAGCTATATAGAAAGATAGGTGTAATGTTAGTATCCTATTCCAAATAGTACAAACCTACTACAAACATTAGTAATCAACCTCACAAGAAGAACCAGACGCAGTCATGGTAGCCAGAAACACTGACAGAAGACGTCACCTTAATATTGTACAACTTACACAAGGCGAGACCCTAGTCTAGTAATCCAAATACAAGATGTAACTGTAGTACAAAACCGACAAGATGTGACCCTAGTTTAGTACATGTACAACAGTACGACAAATGTGACCCTAGCCTCTTACAACAAACACAAGACGTGACCCTAGAAGCACAAGGTGTGACCATAGTCTAGTACAACAACCACAAGACGTGATCCTAGTCTAGTACAACAAACCCAAGATGTTACCCTAGCCTCGTACAACAAACACAAGACGTGACCCAAGTCTAGTACAACAAGCACAAGGTGTGGCCATAGTCCAGTATAATAAACACAAGACGTGTTCCTAGTCTAGTACAATAAACACAAGATGTGATCCTAGCACAACAAACATCCTGACCCAGTAGATCCACGAAGCAATCGTAGCCTACTGTACCAATCTCCATCATCGTTACTTCTGCTCCGTGTAGTCATGTAGCCGTGTCTGCGTAGTTTGCACTTGAGGATTGAATCTTGGTACAGATTGCTTAGTTTGCACTTGAGGAAAGAAAAACTACGGTACAAATTTCTACAGTATACAAAACAAAAGCCAAATACCCCCCCCCCCACACACACACAACTTTGAATGTGTCAAATGCACACCACGAGAAACAATTGGCATAAAAATTATTATAGCATAGTAAAACATAGGCGCTACCAAACCCTACTGCAACGACAGGCGGGATTCTTGTCTAGAAAACAAACACATAAAACGCTGAAAGCCCTTCTTCAAAAACAAATTTTAGCCTAGTAAAATGCACACAAGGCGCAGACCAAGGGGAGTGGTGCCCCCCCCCCCCACAATAATTTGCTGCAAGTTCCCCTTTTCAGGGTATTTGCACGCAAGTAAGTATTTTTGGTTAGATTTTATGGCGTAAGGGGAAGCGGCCTGGGTTTAACACTGACGCGAGACTTCTAGAGCGTAGAAAAAAAAACTTTTAGGGTTGAGCTCTAGAAGGTCTGATGGTTACAAAGTCGAACTCTTCCAAGCATTTTCGATCCTTAACACATATTACAGTTTAACTTTCATCTCATGAATCAGACAAAATTCTCGCCTCGGGAAGGTCCAAAAACTTCATTCATATTAAATTTCACCTTTGCGAAAAAGGGCTACTTTTATCTAAATCGGATAAAAGTTGTGACCTCGAGATGGTTCACAACTGAGTATTACATGCTTTTACACTATTTACGGAAAATGGGACGGCCATTTGACGGGATGTTTCAGTACGATTTCAGGAGAGAGAGAGAGAGAGAGGGAGAGAGAATGAGAGAGAGAGAGAGAAATGGGGTTTAACGTCCACTCGACACAACGCCAGCTGACTCAATGACAGGACTTATGATACAGTGTACACGTGCTAACCATTCAGCCATCCAACCCCCCATACTTTTTTGGAACATGGCTTTTGCCATGATTTTGTATTCAGTATGTGCTATATGCTCCTATTATTCGAGAGAGAGCGAGAGGGGGGGGGGGGGGGGGGTAAAGTCCACTCGACACAAACTAGGTCATTTCGGGACTAACGTATGGTTTAATTTTATTTCCATAATTCGCTTGCGCGTAGGGGTTTAGCAGTGGGAGGAAACCAGAAGACCCGGTGAAAACTCACGAAGTTGGACAGGCGACCCTACTCCTTGTCACGTACAACCGGGGATTCGAAACCACGCCAGTAGACTCAATGACAGACTTTATGATACAGCACGCACGTGCTAACCATTCAGCCACCCCCCCCCCCCCCCAACGATTTCAGGAAATTCGAACTCAATCATAATGATGATGTAACGGTGATATGTTTAAACGGTATTGAAAAAAAAGATATAAATTGTGATATTTCGTACACTCAGGGGCCATACTCCAGAAAGTTACGGTCCGATACGCGCCAATATCAAAGGTTCCAGATCTTTTGGATATAAGTTTCATCAAAATCGGATAAAAATTGTGATATTTCGTACACTCAGGGGCCATACTCCAGAAAGTTACGGTCCGATACGCGCCAATGGTGTAACGGTGATATATCTGAAAGATTTTTACAATCGAATAAAAATTGTGACCTCTAGGGGGTTCATGTGATTTGTCATACAATTAGAGAACCAGGAAGTGACGGTGTGATATGCGCCAATATCGAAAGGAACCGAGACCTTTAGGTTATAAACATACATTGTCGGATAAAAATTGTAACTGTAAAGTCTAGAGTGACCATAACCTGAATATTATTATGCATAAATCTTACTTGTTTTTATTGTCATTATCTAAGGACAAAAGAAATTCATTATTGGTTTTAAACGTAGGGTCACTAATTATGACTGCCGAAATTTGTTTTCGCTTGATTGCACCAAGACACACGAGTTTAACAACTTTGCAAGTTTTCGCATGAAACCCAAATCTAGGCCCTTTAAATTCCGGGGTTCTCGGTTTCAAAATGAGTTGCTCATGTAAACACTCAACGAGCCAAGTGATGCCACCTCTGAACGAAGACCAACGCAACAACGCTATCGGTTGGTTACAAGCAGGTGAATATCAGACAGATGTAGCCAACTACTAAATGTTTCCCAGAGTACCATTTCTCGCCTTTCGGGTAGGTACCGACAGCGAAGATCAACATGTGACCGCCCAAGCTCAGATCAAACGAGAGTGGCACCACTTGCCCTGGATCGTCACATCCGGTTACGTTATTTGCGCCAACGGTTCACAATAGCGACCTCTACTGCAGCAGCAATTCCTGGACGGCGTAGGATCTCAGACCAGACAGCCCATAGACGCGTACGTGAGACCGTATTACGAGCCAGACGTCCCGTTAGAGCTGTTCTTTTGAAATATGCTGACACCGTCGAATCTGACTTCAATGGGTTCAGACGCACAGGGTATGGTCACAGCAATGCTGGAGAACAGTTTGGTTCAGCGACGAGTCGCGGTTCCTGTTTCAACAAGGCGATGGTAAAGCGAGGGTATACCGACGACGAAATGTCACGATGCGTTTCTTTATTTGAAGAGTATATTTGTCTAGTTCAACAACACGAAACCACCACCAAGTATGTTTTAAAGGTAAGGGAGTTAAAAATGAATGAAAAGAATTATTAGTCAGAAATCGCCCAGAAAGCGCCTTCAAAGATCTAGACCCCAAGGGGCTTCCCGGCCCAGGTGGACCCTTGACCCTTGCCTACAGTCCTGGGATGGTACCCCCCCCCCCCCCAAACAAGAATTGCTTCCCTACTGGAAGAAACCGAGACGTATCTATTGCCTACAGCAAAAGACAAATATGTTCAGCCTAGTAAAATAACGCGTAATTATAGCCGACGGCAGAAAACAAGAAATCGCGACAAATACATCCATTAGTAACGTGATAGCTCAATAAGCATGACATTTCTTTAAAAAAATATCATGCAACTAGATGTTATTTATTACAAATATCGATCCTTAGGTTATTATTAAATAACTTCCTTTTCTAACATCAGTGTTATTTTTAGTAACATTAATTGCTTACTATACCTTACTTTCTGATTTCTTCGCATATCTCTTTTTACTTCCGTGTTGCGAACTGACGATTTTTTTTAACATGGAGAAGCTAAGATTATTGTTTGTCGAATGTTCAGTATGATATTAAAATGTATCGACTGGCTTAAATATCCACAATTTTCTTGAAATGAAATGGGTTTAACGTGCCACTGTTCTACTTCGATTGAGCTAATGAAGACGGGCATACGTACTAACAGAGTTATATGAGCTTTCTCGGACAACGTAGGGATCGAAAACGGGACCGCAATGTTAGCGAGCCAACGTGTTACTCGCCGAGCCACCGTGGCTCCTTACAACATTATACAACACTTGAGAACGTCTAAAACTGTGAAGCAGACAGATTGACTGCAGAAAATTAAGATCCATACAAACGTGACGGACATGATTCCAGCTAATTTGTATATCAATCGATCGCCGCTTGTGAAACATTGGCAATATGGCACCCAAAATCATATAGTACACACATGTACTAGTATTTGAAGTTAACATTTACACGCCAACGCATCCATTGATTTACGTTTCTGTCGATAGTCGAATTTGCTAACTTTAGTGTTCAACATGAAACCAGCGGCATTACAGATCGAAACGACAATGAAATGTTGGGTTAAAGATACATTATGGGAGATTTTTATAGAGAGTTGGCCATTCTTGCTATAACAGTTCAAAAGTAGATGATGAAAGAAGAATATTGAAAAATCCAGTCAAATTTCTTTATTCTGAACATAGTTATCATCGTTGTAATATTTGCCTAGAAATGGTAGCGAAATGTGTCGTCACCTTCGCCGATCGTTTGATTGACAGGCGTTAACTCCACCTACATATCTCGATTATCAAGTAAAGTTTTCAATGGCATACGGAAACGCTTTACAGCGGCCTCGCTAAGTACATTCTATCATTTAGCCTCGATCTAACTGACGTATTTTCATCAGGTTACCCCTTATTTGATTTAATCAATTAGTGAAATCCTATTTAAATCCGAGCTGTAGCCGAGCCATCCGTGGGTCTACAGAGTTGATTTTGGTCTTGTTGTTTAAATAAAGATCTAATTTATAATTTCTATAACATCTGAAGCCTAAATTAAGACTTGCAATAATCAGATTTAGCTCTTGCATAATGCATGTTTAATAATCAAATCTCTGCATGGTTTGAATCTCTGCATGTGCGAGAAGAATCTTCAGAATTTTCATGCCCGGTTCCCACTTGTTAGCGAAGGTACCAGCGGGGCTGATAAGGAAAGTATGTCTAGTCGTTCGGATATAAGGAAACGGAAATGAGACGTAACCATGAACACATTTGCTAGCAAGTAAAAGAACCCATATAGTAGGCGGAAATGCCGCTGTCTGGTACCCACCCCCACCCCACTTCACATTGCACCAATAAATGAAATGAAATGAAATGAAATGAAATGGGGTTTATCGTCCTACTGTTTTGCTCCGAACTGGGCTAATGAAGACGGGCATACGCCATACAGTGTGCTATGAGGGAAATTTTTCCCAGACAGAGGCACTACGGCCTACTCTTATATCGAATTCCAACTGTCAAGGGATCTTTTACGTGCACACCAATGTGTACACGGGACCTCGGTTTTTCGTCTCATCCAAATGACTAGACAGCTGCCCTTGTCAGTCCCTTCGTCCTGCATCACTGACAAGGGGGAACCATATCGGAAAATCTGGATGAACATTCTCGGCCAATGCAGGGATCGAACACCCGACCTCCAGGCAAGCGAGCCAGCGTCTTACCCACTTAGCCACCTCACTTCACATTGCATCAAAATAACCAAAGTATTGTGTTGACATTTGACCATGTAAGTTCAGCAGACTTAAGGTGTAACACGACTATGACCCCCTTCCCCAACTTTTACATAATTACCTCATAGTCACGTTAATTAATTATGTTTGCTTACCTGGGGTTTTTTCAATCACCCATTTAGCACAGTAACCTTCACATGGTATCGTTGTTAAAGCCGGGTGTGATAAGTTAAACGGATCGCCACAAAAATGGTCGCTGGACGTCGACGACGAGGAACAGAAATAACAGTTGATTATATTGGTATCTGTAAAAAAAATAATATAAACATACATAAACATCTATTAAAACACAAGTGCAGGAAACTTAAAGACATTTGGCTTGATAACCAGAAGGCCAGGGGTTCGATCCCCATTTCGACTGCAAAGGTTCCTCGGGATTTACCTGCTTGCTTGCTTTCCATTTGGCAGTGCAGAGGGCCTGACTAGGACAAGCGGTATCACATGCACCAATTAGTAACCCCTGGAAGTTTGAATTAAAGATAATAGTAGTTCACAGCCCAATCTGGTTAAAATACAGAACTATATTTTGTTTCGTTTTTTTTTTTATACTTTCGATGGTCTACACTACATGAAGTAGTAAAGACAAGTAAAATGAAATTTTGAAGTATAAAAGCGAAACGAAATAGGATCTGTGTTTTAATCAGATTGGACATAGTACCGCTGTCCGAACTAAATTTGACACATATAGCACATTGATAGCGTAGGTATTCTCGTTTTCAATAGACCGATTGGAGCAGAAAAGTAAGACGTTAAGTCCCATTTCATTTCATTTCATTTCAACTCAGCATCTGATCAATGTTTTCAATGAAACTCGGGTCAAGCAGTATCTCAATCAATCAGCATATATTTCGTTTGTTCGATCGCCAGAATCTACAGATAATTTAGCTTGATGTAACACTACTATATATCGTTTGAATGATCAAATTTGTTCGGCCTAGTCTGATTCGACCCAGTGACAATGTTCAGACGATTGATAGCTTACATTTTACAAAGATCATTAGAAAACGAAAAAGTTTTATATACCGAGTTATATATGTTATAAAGAGAAACTTTTGTCACTTGTTCAAAGTAAGTTTGTTAAAGATGCATTATGTAAGATTTTGATAAAGCGTTGGCCGTTCAAGCTATACTACTTCAAAACAGATAATGAAAAATGAATATATTATTTTATTCTTAGCGAAGTTATGAGTGTTTGAAGATATTATCGTAGCAACGGTACTTGACAATCAACACTCAGTCTCGCTTATCCATTTCATCATTAAATTTTGAAATCTCGCGAATGTTCTAATCCATTTAAATCTCGACCATCCGATGATCTAGAGAGTTGATTATAGGCTTGTCATGTGAATAAATGTCTACAAAATAGTTTATATAACTGCAATAGGCAGATATAGCTCTTACATAATGCTTCTTTAAATTTGGGCTAGTGACAGTTTAATCCTATGCACCCTCTCCCCAGCACCACCACTGAGACTGCAGGCCTACCTTTAGATAGTAGTTGGTCGTCATCATGCTATTCAAATCCAAAATGGAGAGAAGCAACTCGTTCTGCTAGTCTGTACGTTTCAGTTCTAAATACTGATGTGCTTAAAGGGGGTATGTAATTCCAGTGAAGAATTTAGGCCTATTGCTTACGTATGGTGGTGTCATATCCGCTAAAACATATCTGGAACGTCTCCTTTAATATTTTTATAAACACAGCCAGCCAGCAGTGAACTAATAAACAGCAAAACAAAACGAGAAAGAATTCTAAAATAAGTGTACGTCTAATAGAGAAGCTAAACTAAAGATAAAGCTAATAAACAAAGGATATACGAATAGTACCAGCAGCCAATTTGAAAAAATATACTATGATACGATGAATATCATAAGGGTAAGAATTTGGGTGAGGAAAAGGATCATTTGTTGACCATAGCAGGAAATATACTATAATAAAGCAGTCGGGCTTAACTACTAAGCAAAATGACTTTGTGTTTTAACTTAGTTAAGTTTTTAAAATACAAACATCAAGTGAAATTGTCCATTTATTATCACTATTAATCCCATGCTAGAAATGGTCTTTAAATAATAGTTATTATTTTATTCTTTTTTTTTTATAATTTGCAAGGTAGGTGTTAGATGAGATGGAGAGTTGTCTACTACATGTGGAAGGGTTGGAGATATAATTCAACTTACGTCTGATGTTATCATTTCCTTTTCCAATATCTTAAATAAAAAAAATAAAGCAAAACAACTCATAGATATATGAATAAAACTTATGAATATTTTTTCACAATTTCAATCAAAACAAAAATACAGAATAAACTGCTAAAATAAAATGAACACAATGAAAACTATAACTAAATGATATAAAATATTGCATTTAATATTTACACTGTTTGTAATATATTAAAGGACTATGGCACCAAGCACCATTTTCTTCGCCAAAAAAAGATATTAATAACATAGACAAACCATATTTTCTTGGTAGAGAGAGAGAGAAATGGGGTTTAACGTCCACTCGACACAGACCAGGTCATTTCGGGACTAACATATGGTTCAATTTTATTTCTATAATTCGCTTGCGCGTAGTGGTCTTTAGCAGCGGGAGGAAACCGGAGGACCCGGAGAAAACCCACGAAGTTGTCACGTACAACCAGGGATTCGAAACCACGCCAGTTGACTCAATGACAGACTTTATGATACAGCACGCACGTGCTAACCATTCAGCCATCCACCCACCCCCCCCCCCTTCTTGGTAGAAATATTCTCCTTTAATAGATGGCCATAAATATTATTTTATAATGTCTGAAGCAAGAAAAACTCCATGCCATAAGCAGACTTAGCTCTTACTTATTGTCTCTTTATTGTTAATCCATTAGTTACTAAACTGCCTGCAGATAATTGACGTTATAAATTATCAAATCGCCCTGATCTTCCATGTGACTGTAACTATAGAAATGCGGATATAGTCAGTTCCGTGCCTTACGGATATGTTCTAGTCTTAGGTTGACCAGCTTGCTGTATAACGGTTGAAAGAAAATTACATTACAGATGCATTACGTAAGATTTAGATAAAGAATTGACAGTTCTCGCTATAATAGTTCAAAAATAGATAATGAAAAGTGAATATGTTGAAAATTTCATTTCAGTCAAATTACTTCATTTTAGCGGAGTTATTGCCGTTTGAAGAACAGTGTAGTTTCGATTGCGATTGCTACCGTTGCTGCGATAACACAGATGCAATTAAAGGCAGTTGCGTAATGCAGCATAACGAAGCCATTGTCTTTTTATACTTATAGAATACATGTAGCTGAAGCATAAACAGTGCATGTAATTAATGTTTGATATAATGTAACAGTTTAGAAGTGTTGGGTATCGTGACATTATTGTGCCATAGTCAAGCAGGATCTGTAAATTGATCCTGATAAGTTACCAAGGTATCCAAGGAAAATTATAAATATGGGCCCATTTGATGCCCCGCCCCAGGACTGGGCCTCAAGACTATTATGGACGGATTGACAGGGTGACTTATTAGTTCAGCCTTTCCCCACATCTAGCCTTATTGTTTATCTCTCTGCATTCCACATTAATCTTTTGTTTTTTTGTTGTCATAACAACAAACACATAAACCCTAATTAATTATAAATAGAAAAAAAATCAAATTATATGACATGATCAAGGCCGCTTAAACAGATGGAATAAGTATGATTCATCGGGTGTATGACTATGTTTTGGGATCTTAAAATAGACGAAGATGAGTATAAATGCACATATTAATGTAATAATTATGAATGTATATAAAGCGATTTATATTCAATTTTTAAAAATGTTATTTTAATTTCTAATCAATCAAAATACGTGAACAGTCCAAATTAAACGGTAGTCGTTTACGCATGCTTAGTCCATTCTACACGACTACACGTTTCTATTATTATTTGGAGAATCGGCCATTTATACTAATTATTTTTGCATTGTCTTGTAGGATATGTTTTTCTTCTGTTCATTACAAATGGCGACGGAAATCACAGAATACACGACTTGTGTACTGATTGTACAATGTTCATTATGTCTTAAATATTGGATATTAGGATCCCATATTTTCACGACAAGATAACAACATCAATATTGATTGAATTGGGCCAATATTGAATTTTAATTCGTATTTCGAATTTTATGGAAAATAGTAAAGTAGAGGTGCAAGAAATAAAACAGTTTTACATCCTGATTAAACACATCAAAGTCATACACACAGGTAAAACATAATCTATTCATGTTTAGAGATTGAACATACTACAAACATGCTTAAAATTAAAAAGTAACCACAATGCAGTCATGCTTCAAATTAAAGTATACGACATTCATGCTTCAAATTAAAGCATACTAGAGTCATGTTTCAAATTCAAACATAAAACAGTCATGATTCAAAAGTAAACATAATACTGTGAATGGGGTTTAATGTCCTTCTGTTCTGCTTCAAACGGGCTAATGAAGTTGGACATGTGCCATGCAGTGTGTTATGAGGGCATTTAGTCCGGGCAGCAATTGAATTACAACTGTCAAGCACCGAACCCCTGTTGCTCCCTAAACATAATACAGTCATGCACGTAAATTAAATATCAATATTCAGCAAAGAATATAAAATTTCATAAACATAATAATTCAAATTTGTATATCCTTGCTTTCATTTTAGTTCATTGGTTTGACTTAGAAAAATGATATGAGCGATCAACCATCGTATAAACCATATAGTCGTATTAAAAGCAAAATATTTTCACTTATGTGGAAGCAGACGTTAAACACCAAGAACTACTACGTTGAATTACAAAACCATAACTGTCTGAATTGTGAAAGCCAGATGCCACTCAACAGACTGCTTTTATTGTGTCTAATTTGAAATGAATATCGAACATAAGTCCTGCTGGGTCGGAAGAAGCTAATAAAATTACTGGTTTCTTCCGATAAAGTCTTGTTTGTCCACAACTCGAGCCGTTGCTCGCTCAATAAACTTCATGAATATTTCTTCCAATCTTATAGAGACGAGCGCTTTGTATTATGACGCGCGGTCAACCATAAATATGTATGTTAGAGTAGAAGAATACTTGAACCAGAGAAAATATTCATATTTCATCTGATTAGCAAACCTTCTCAAGCTTTGATTAGGTCAAAAAATATCAGCTACTTAAGCGGGGAAATAAAAATACACTAAATGAGATTAAATCTGTATTTTTTCATTTATTTAATGCGAAAAATAATTTTAAAGTGTATTGGAATTATACCTGACATGGATGTGGAATACGAAGACACGCGGGACCCTGGCCTTGAACTTATCAGAAGTGGTTAATACGCTGGTCCAAATTGTATTCAAGTTCTTCTGTAATTCAATTACCCAGAGAGCTTGATTATTTCTAGTGACGCTGTTGTTTTTATACATACACGATGTTTAAAATAACTAGACCTCTTTGATTTGAGTTAAAAATAAAATTGTCCATAGACAAAGGTTTTGAATTGAAACAGATTGTGGGTTCCATGGGCGCGAGAACGTTCGAGGGTCAGGGGTCAAAGTGAACGGGGGTGGGGGTCCGCTCCTGGATTGAGTGGGTCTAGTGGGTCCTTCCCCGACGAATTTGTTTAAAATTCTGGCGTCGTCGTGCTGGTTAACATTTAAATCCCATCGGACTGGAATACAAACTCAGACCATAAGCAACAAGATTTGATGCACTTTAACAAATAATGTATACCAACAAGAATCTGAAATATGGAGGTCCCGGGTTCAGTCCCTGCGTTGGCCAAGCAAATTTAGCTCTTTATCGAAATCTTACATACTGCATTGGAAACAAAATTTAAATTTGTAAAGAGCTTGTCCAAACGCAAACAAAATAACACAAAAGATTAAAGATGCATTATGTAAGAGCAGCTAAATCTGCTTATTGCAGGTTTTTATTTTGGTTTCAAATGTTTATATAAACAACTAATTTAGAAATTTATTCACATCACAAGCCTAAAATCAATTTTCTAGATCATCGGATGGCGGAGATTTAGGCGTATTGAAACACGGACGCAATTTAATGATTTAATTTAGAAATGGCGAATCGAGGCTAAATCTTGTCAAAACTTCAAACTGTGATGACTTTACTCAGAAAAAAGTGATTTGAATGAAATTTTCAATATGTATATCATTCAGCATTATCTATTTTTGAAGTATACTCTTCAAAAAAAGTAGACATTTGACATGCTTTCAGAGTATGTTCACAGATGATGAACTTATCGCCCCAACAGAACCACTGAGCTGCACATGCGACACGCAATAGCGCCATACACGTGGGTGGGGTTCATTGTCAAATTTGACACTTCAAGGAAGGGTTGATGAAAACTGCCGCGTGCTGGTTTATCTATCCATGTTTGCTTTCCTATCGGTTCTTGCATAAGATTTACTGTTTAGCGTATCTTTGCTTTAGTGTGTTACGATTAATTTGATCGGGAGACGTGTTCGTCGACGTCAACGTCAACCGACAACACTGCAAGAATTGGCCGTGGCACTGCAAGAGGAGTGGGTCAGATTGCCCCAAATCGTGATTGGACGGTTGATTAGGAGCATGACACGACGAATTGCTGAATGTCTGAGGATTGGTGGAGCAATTACTCATTATTAAGACAGAAATACAAAAAACGTCCATTGTCACTTTTGACGGTGTATATCTTTGCGAGTGAACCCGCCCATATGAACTGTTTATGTTCATGTGTAGGCAATTGGCCTGTTATTAACATACACTGGTTACCTCTAATAAAAACAGCAGTGCATTTCCGCAATTTTGTATTGTTTCTGAATACCCCCTACTTGAAGAGTATATTATAGCAAGAACGGTCAGCTCTTTATCTAAATCTTACATAATGTATCTTTAATAACCAATAACTTTATTTTCAATTTCTTTTCCCAATTGAAAACAATGTACGAAGAGCTTCATTTCGTTATCGGTTGAGCGGTTGGCTATTATTATTCACTTTAAAGACTCGTCTAAACCACTGTGATTGGTTTATATGATTCTTGCCCAGAACATGGCATCATTTGATTGGATAGATCAGTGACCAGGTCAAGCTAATAGAACACAAGCTGCTTAAAGACACAATATTCCAGATTAAAATTCAAATACAGGTGTTTCGATCATATACAATATAATTATATAGTCGTCCGGGTGGGACGAAAAACCGAGTTGTCGTGTACACAT